AAAAAAAAAAAAAAAAAAAAAAAAAAAAAAAAAAAAAAAGAAAATCACCATTTTGGGCTGGCCCGGTGGCACACTGCTACAGTGCACCGCTTGGGAGCAAGGCGGCGCTTCCGCCGAGGGTTCGGATCCCACATGCAGACCGGTTCCCGCTCGCTGGCTGAGCGAGGTGCGGGAGCGACACTGAGGGTTGCGATCCGTTGCCAGACACGAAAAAAGACAAAAAGGAAAAAAAAATCACCATTTTGCAGCAAAATAATAATTAACTCAGGTAAAGATCATCATGGACACTAAAACCTTTAGGTGATAGGTCATTGGGGAATAAGGTATTCATACAGTAGCAAAGTATCACCTCATAAATTAGTTTTTAATTACAAAGGGAAAGGCACCTTAAAAGTAGAGAAATTGGGAAGACATCCATCTGACCAAGTTTCTGCACTTAAGAGTCACCAATAATGACTGAAATTGCAAAAGGAATGACATAATGCCATGGGAAGTACACAGTATCATTTACATAGAATTTTTGCCAAAAATGCCTAACCTAAATCTATTTATAAGGAAACGGAAACACTCACACAAACCCAGATTGGCTCCTGGGTTGAGGGGAAAAAAAGAAACCAGCTGTAAAGAATATTATTGGAACTGAGGAAATTTGAGTATGAAAAACTGAATATTAGCTATTTCATCAATGTTAAATGTCTTTATATTTTGGCTATATAGAATAATGTGCTTAGGGATAAAGTTTTATGTCGTCTATACTTGACTTCCTTTTTAAAAAATTAATTATTTTTTTTTCCTTTTTGTTTTTTTTCGTGACCGGCAACGGATCGCAACCCTCAGTGTCGCACCCGTACCGGACCGGGACCGGCAACGGGATCGCAACCCTCAGTGTTGCTCCCGCACCTCGCTCAGCCAGTGAGCGGCCGGTCTGTATGTGGGATCCGAACCCTCGGCGGGAGCGCCGCCAAACTCCCAAGCAGCGCACTGTAGCAGTGCGCCACCGGGCGGGCCCAAATTAATTTATTTTTAACTGACACATAATTGTATATGCCTGATTTTCAAATGACTTGATCCAACAAGGACAGTAAAAATACACCCGTGCACATATGCAAGTGCGTAGAGATAAAACAAGTTCTGCAAAATGTTAACTGGTAAATCTAAGTAGAGGACATGTACAAGGATTCAATGCACTAATCTCTTAACTTTATGGAAGGTTTGAAATTGTTCAAAATATAAATCTGGGGGAAGGGGAACACTGGGCCCAAACCCTCCCTCTTCTGGGGAGCACAGGGCAGGAGAATATGTCTTTCCTCAGTTAAACACACTTCCACACAGGCAGCTTTTCACTTGAAACCACTCTGCCCTGATTTCCAACATTCCAAATTTTGAATAATAAAAGTGAAAAATTATGTTTGGTCTTCATTTTACTAAAAAACATAATCTAGCAAAGGAAGCAAGGTCATTATGAGGTAAAGTGACTTCCCCACCCTGGTCGCACATGGGCAGTGGCAGGACTAGTATCAGGAACCTTACCCACTCTTCCATCCCTACAATGATCTATATTTCTGTCAGAAATTGAAAGCTGGAGCGTCACTCACTGGGGGACAGGGCCATTACAGAGGCTGGCTTCTTGTTGCCTTTACTCCAGTGAGCTCTTTGGGCCCTGCTTCCCGATGGTCTTGTTTCCACACTCACAGGCCTCTTTTCACCGCCCATCCCCACTCCTACATTTAATGACACACATCTCAGTCGGAGCTCTACAGCTTTATTACAAATGGAGTTGACATCTAGAGAGGCCCGTCTCTAGTCTTTCTTCTGTACCCTCTTTCTTCCCAACACAACCCTCCAAGGGAGGCCAGTAGACCATTACTGGAAGCAGAATCTGGGGAGAGTGAAAAAGGGCAATGCTTTCTCCAAAGTCCTCTGAACCAACCAGGGTCCTTCTGACTCCAGTCAAGAATCTTCTGGTGGAAGAGGTAAGAACTTTAGCTCTCATCTTCAAGGTCTTCCATGTCTACATCCTGGGGGGCTTTTGGCTTCTTTTGCCGTTTGGGCTGGGGTTCACTAGTCCTGGCTGGCTTTGAGGGGGCTTCCACTGAGTAAAGGGAAAGAGAAATATTAAAGAATCTAGATAAATCCAGGCTCCCGCCCCCCCTCCCCCCACCTCAGTGCCCCGGTATCACCTTCCATGGCTGCCTTCTCTTTCTGGGCAAGCCGGATCTGTTGGAGGAGTTTTCTGCGCTTCTTCCCAGATAGAGTGATGTTGGCACGTGCACTGGACCTGAAGGGCAGATAGGAGCAAAGATATCCAGGTTAGCCTGAAACACCCTAGGTCACCCAAGTGGTTCTGGCAACGGAAAATTACATAACTATTTGGAAGTGTGGGCTCTAAGGCTGTGAGTTAAGTCTCACTTTACTTAATACTAATCTCAAAACATGCTTCACGGTTAAGTATTAAATAAAGTACTTAACGTTAAATGTTAATATTTAGTAAGTAGTAGAAAGTCTAGATATTTATATTGAAGAAGCCAATGAGATAATGTAGAAAGTAATTAATAGCAGGGCCGGCCCGTGGCTCACTCGGGAGAATGTAGTGCTGATAACACCAAGGCCACAGGTTCGGATCCCTATATAGGGATGGCCGGTTAGCTCACTCGGGAGAGCATGGTTCTGACAACACCAAGTCAAGGGTTAAGATCCCCTTACCGGTCATCTTCTAAAATAAATAAATAAATAAATAATTAATAAATAATAAAGTAATTAACAGCATGGGAACTCTTCCCCAAGACTCAGGGGGCCTTGAAACTTCTATGCAAAATCCTACGTGTACCTTTCGGAAAATCAACCGAGTTGTATGTAAAAATAAGTTTACTTATAAGATTCTATGAGAAAGGTTGTGAGATCCTGGCAGACTTTAGGAACGCACACAGCCGACAAATATTCCCGGAATAAACGTGAGTGCACGAGGAAAGGTGCTGGCCGCTTCGGAGCTCGGCCGAGGGGGGAGACTCGGCAGGGACGACGTACGGGAAGAGAGTCCGGTACTCACGCCCGCTTCTTGAGGTGGTGCCGCGTGATCAGCCCTTCGTCTACCACGGCCCCGACCACTCGGTGCCTCACTCGCCGCTCCCGGTTCAGCACCCGCCGCCGCTTGAACAGCTTCTTCTTCAGTTCCTGCGGGGGAGAGGGATGCCAATCAGACGGAGGCGGCGCACGGCGGCCCGGGACCCCCGCACCCGGCGACCCCGGCCCCCATCGATTCCCGTCTACGGCGAGAGGAGAGAGCGCCCGGACGCTTGGGGAGACAGAGTCGCGGCTCCCCCACAGTCACCGTTCGAGGCCGGTTGATCTTCCCCCCGGGAGCCCCCATGGCTGCGCCGCCGCGCCGGCTGGTTCTGTACTTCCGCTCCGCCCCCGGGCCGCAGGGCCCCGCCCCTCAGTCCTCCGCGGGCCAATCGCAGTCCGGGGGTGGGTCCCGGGTATATAAAGCAGCTCTGCCCGGCTGGAGGTCTCTTGGCGGGCAGCGGCCGGGTGAGTGTCGGTTGCTTGCGGACGTGGGAGGCCGGGTGGGGGCTCTGGCTGGGGCTGGCGGGCCCTCTTTTCTTGGCGGTGACCGGGCGTGCGGTCCCGCTCCCCGTTATGTGCGGAGGCAGAGGGAAATGGCTCCGGCCCCCTCGGCGTAGGGCAGAACCGAAGTCCAGCGGGCTCCTCCTCGGGGTGCTCACGGCTTCTCCTTTGACTTCAGGTCCGCGGACGCTGCCCCAGGAGAGGGAGCTATCGTATCTCCTCCTAACACTTAACGTGGGAACCAATAAAAGCCGTTTGTCCTGCAATAGGTCTGTGTCCGCGTTTTTTTCCGAAACTGCAGAGTTTGGGGAGCTGTGTGCATTCTTCTACGACCCGGAATTTGCAGATCGAACCTGGAACCTCAGTCCCTTGCTGGAGTGCGGGCAACACTTCGCACAGGTTCTCTGGCTCACCTTGCCGGGACCTCTGATGGCCGCATTGCGCCGAATGCTCCACGTGCCGGCGCTGGTGGCGGGGGCCCGCCGCGCACTGGCGGGTAGGGAGGGTGGGGGCAGAGTGGGAGGGCAAGGTGGGTTCTTAGGGACCCGGGAGTCTAGTCCCTGAAATTGTGGCTCTTAAAATCCTGCGGTATATATGCACCGTCTTTTTCAGAGCTGAGATAGAACTCGGTCACCGGGTGACACATACCCTCCACTCGTGTCCACAGGTTCCCTGGCCAGTAGCTGCTTGGCAGACCGCTGCCTCTGGGATCGGTTCCACGCCCAGCCACGTCTTGGTAGTGTCCCCACCTTCGACTGGTTCTTTGGATATGAGGAAGTCAAGGGGCTCCTACTGCCGCTGCTGCAGGAGGCACGGGATGCCTGCCCACTGCGTGTGCTGGATGTGGGTTGTGGGACCTCAAGCCTGTGCACAGGCCTGTACACCAAGTCCCCACACCCCGTGGATGTGCTAGGGATAGACTTCTCTCCTGTGGCTGTGGCCCACATGAATAGCCTCCTGGAAGGTGGCCAAGGCCAAGCACTCCTATTCCCTGGGCACCCTGCCTCCCGCCTCCACTTCATGCTGGCTGACGCCCAGAATCTGGGGCCTGTGGCTTCCTCAGACTCCTTCCAGCTACTGCTGGATAAAGGCACCTGGGATGCTATTGTCAGGGGTGGTCTGCCTGAGGCTTATCAGCTGCTATCAGAATGCCTGAGGGTCCTAAGCCCCGGGGGGACCCTGATTCAGTTCTCAGATGAGGACCCTGATGTGCGGCTGCCTTGCCTGGAGCAAGGGTCCCATGGTTGGACTGTGACTGTGCAGAAGCTAGGCCCTTTCAGGGGCATCACCTACTTTGCTTACTTGATTCAAGGCTCTCATTAAAGACATTTTAGTCCCAACCCTACTGTTCGTATTGGCCAAGAGAGAGTTGGAGAGAGCTTTGTCTTTGAAAGGTAGATGACTGGAAAGTGAGAATGAGTTCTGGTTTCCACATTTACTAGCTGGGTGCAGAATTACTGAATGTGTCTGTGCCTCAGTTTACTTATCTGCAGAGTGGGAATAAATACCTGGAGTTTAGAGAGATTACATACAATGATGCATGAAACATTTAGCACTCGCAAGATGAGTGGATCATTCCCAACTGCCAACTAACTGGAGCTCCTAAAAGTAACAGATTGGAACTTGATCCAAATCACAGTGTTGACTTGTGTGACCCAATAGCCTAACCTCTAAACCTCATTTTTTCTCACCTGTAAAAGTTGCAGATGGTAAGAGGATGGGTAGAAGGCTTCATAAACAAACCTAGGTGAAACATTTTAGGGACAGAACAACACTTACCTTCAAAGCTACTGGGAGGCAGGAAATGGGAATATTCCACAAAGTGGCTTCTACAGACAAGGGAGCCTGTTGCTGGGTCCCAGAGAGAACAGAGGTTGGGGGCTTCCTGACATTCTGTGTCCTCAGGAAACCAGGAGGCATCTTGCTCTTCCTGCTCCTGCCCCCAGCTGAGTCCAGGGTTAAACGTTCTTAAGAGAGATCTGGGGTCCTGTGGGCTCCAAACCCAACCTGGGGGGAAGGGAAAGAGGGAAGTTAGGAGGCCCGTTAACAATGAAAAATATTCCTGATATAATATTAAGTTTTCTGGGTTTTTTATTTTTTTGGTGGCTGACCAATACAGGGATTGAACCCTGGACTTTGGTGTTGTTATCAGCACTACACTCTAACTGAGCTAAGTGGCCAGCCCTTATTGAGTTTTAAAAAGATTATAAAACTAAATTGTGTAATAATTTTTTGCTTATAAAAAAGTAAGATTGGGCCGGCCTGTGGCTCACTCGGTAGAGTGCGGTGCTGATAACACCAAGGCCACGGGTTCGGATCCCATATAGGGATGGCCGGTTCGCTCACTGGCTGAGCGTGGTGCTGACAACACCAGGTCGAGGGTTGATGGCCGGTTTGCTCACTGGCTGAGCGTGGTGCTGACAACACCAGGTCGAGGGTTGATGGCCGGTTTGCTCACTGGCTGAGCGTGGTGCTGACAACACCAGGTCGAGGGTTGATGGCCGGTTTGCTCACTGGCTGAGCGTGGTGCTGACAACACCAGGTCGAGGGTTAAGATCCCCTTACCGGTCATCTTTTAAAAAAAAAAAAAAAAAAAGTAAGATACGCCAAAGTCAAGGGTTCAGATCCCCATACTGGCCAGCTGCCAAAAAAAAAAAGGTTAGAGTGGAGTGTGGTACTGGTAACACTAAGGTCCAGGGTTTGATCCCTGTATGGGCGAGCTGCCAAAAAAAGGAAGACAGCAGGCCAGCCCGTGGCTCACTCGGTAGAGTGCGGTGCTGATAATACCAAGGCCACGGGTTCGGATCCTATATAGGGATGGCCGGTTTGCTCACTGGCTGAGCGTGGTGCTGACAACACCAAGCCAAGGGTTGAGATCCCCTTACCGGTCATCTTTTTTAAAAAAAAAAAAAGGAAGACAGCAATTATAATATGATTAAGAGCCTAACTTCACAGCCTCAGTTCTTTCATAAAGGGACAGCATCTCCCTCATTGGGCTGCTGTAGAAATCATGAGGTAAAAGTGTTTAGCACAGTGCCTGGCCCATAGCAAATGCTCAAAAAGTAGAGAAGACATCCAAAATGTTAACTACTGGGTAGTCGAATTTGGGGTAATTTTATTATCTTTTCCCCACAACAAACTATTTTAAAATATTAAAATTACATAGGGCCGGCCCTGTGGCTCACTCGGGAGAGTGTGGTGCTGATAGTGCCAAGGCCGCGGGTTCAGATCCTATATAGGGATGGCTGGTGCATTCACTGGCTGAGCGTGGTGCCGATAACACCAAGTCAAGGGTTATGATCTCCTTACCGGTCAAAAAAATAAATAAATAAAAACAAAATAAAAATATTAAAATTGGGCTGGCCCGGTGGCGCACTCGGTAGAGTGCGGCGCTTGGGAGTGTGGCGGCGCTCCCGCCGAGTGTTCAGATCCCATATAGAGACCGGTCCACTCACTGATTGAGTGTGGTGCGGACACGACACCGAGGGTTGCGATCCCATTGCCGGTCACGAAAAAAAACAAAAAGGAAAAAATATATATATATATATTAAAATTACAGATTAAAGTGTGTAATCCATTCTTACATCAGAACTGCCCTCCAGTGTTCATCAGCTTTACAAACTACCTTGACTTTTCTCTCCCACATCTTTCTTTATCACATTTATTGGGCACCTACTGTGTACTTGGCACTGCTGAATACAGGGGACACAGCTGAGTTTTCCATGTTGGTCCTGCCCAGAACACCCAGTTCACAATAGCCCCACTAAACCACCCACAACCCTCACCTGGCTCTTCACTTTGGTCCTGGAAGAAGGCCTTGTCCTCCTCTTCCTCACCATCAGTGAGCAGCAGCAGCTCCTCATGCGGCCACCAGAGATCCCTGCTCTCTTCATTTACCTCAGAGGCTTCTACCACTATAGAGGGCAGGCTGGACTTTTGAGAGACAACCTGAATAGGGACAGGAGGGGGATTAGGCCAAACTGAAGGATGAGCCAGTGGCAGGATATTGGGTGCAGAAGTACTAACCTGAACAGCCTGGTGACCTTCAACCCTGTCAATCTCTCCTCTGTCCTTCCAGAGAGGGTTGGTTAGCCTGGGACTTTCTCGATGCCAGGAGGATCCTGGGCTATCTATGGGCCAAAGCCCGTCCTCATTGCTCCCTGGCACAAGGGCCATGTTAGTGATTCTTAGAGTGCAGGGTGGTTAAACTCAGAGGAGCATAGCCCTGCCCAGTGCACCCCACAGACTGCCCCTTTAATCTTCTTTGGAGCCTGGCCCCTTAATCACTTCTGAGAGGAAGCTGACATGCTAGCAGATTATGGGCCTTCCAGGGGAGGGGAAAATGCCCAAGAGGTGGGATAAGAGCTTTATTTCTGCCTACTCCTTGTAGACACTGGGGATGGCAGCAAGGGTAGGAGACAACAAGGTCATCTGGATTAAAGCTCTGTGAGTGAAGAGCTTTGATAATGAATTTCCTGACTCCTTTGTTTACTGGTTTTCCCAAGCAGGCATATTTGTATCTTATTTAATGAATATTTATATGATGTTTACTATTTGCCAGGGACTGTTTTAAGTGCTTTACATATAAACTCATTTAATTATCCTGAAACTATGAGCCAGTTACTGTTATAAGCTGCATTTTCCAATGCAGAAATGGGGGCACAAAGAACTTAAATGACTTACCTAGAGTCACACAGCTAAGGGGTGTTTTCTTCTCCAAACTAGAATTCTGTATGTTACACAAAATCCAGAGTTTTCACGGTTAAAAACAAAACAAAACAAAACCAATGCCGAAGGGCATACCATGATGAGAAAAGTAACAGGTTATTTGCAAAATAAAAAAATATGCATAACTGAGTTGGCCAGTGGCTCACTCGGGAGAGTGTGGTGCTGATAACACCAAGGCCACGGGTTCGGATCCCTATATAGGGATGGCCGGTTAGCTCACTTGGGAGAGCGTGGTGCTGACAACACCAAGTCATAGGTTAAGATCCCCTTACCGGTCATCGTAAAAAAAAAAAAAAAAAAAAATGCATATGTGTACCCGTTTCCTTACCCAGTCAGTACACTTGGCTTTGTAGTTTTACTCCACAGTTGAAGGAATTGTAAGGGGTCGATAGGTTGATGTGTGTAAGTATTTACATGACCGCTATGTGCTGTATTTGAAAACGCGCCCAGACCTCTATTGATCGAGAAATTTTGGGGGGTAGAAAGCTAGGCAATTGTAAAACCCATGGCAACCATAAAGACACGCACACTCTCCCAGCAGTCCCCCTCCAGATTTGATGACAGAGGGCTCCGCGCTCAGCCCTCGGTGCCAACACCTTTCCTGGAAACGCTCAACCTCCTCAGCTAAATCTATTAAGACCCAGGTGCTCGGGACTCTAAACGCCTTGATGATCAAGAGCTCTCTAGCCTGGCCGCTTCTCTATGGTTTTCCTAATAGGTCGCTCTAGTCTGCGTAGGGGGCGGCGAGATGTCCGTGGCTACCTCTCTAGGCTGCGGGAGACGGCGGAGGACTCCTCGCTGGTCGCGCGGTAGGGCATGGGGCCGGTGCGGAAAGTGCTGACCGTGGTCGCGATGGTGGGCGCGGGGATTGGCCTGGGGTCCGCTCTCTTTGCTCTCGTGACCCCGGGAGAGCTGCAGAAACAGGCGATGCTAAAGGTAGGAGCAGCTATGATTCCCAAGGTGGGGTTGGCCGGCAGAGGCCCCGGGCTGGAGGGCCAGGACTGCGAGCTTCCCTTCCTGTTCTTAGGAGATGCCGGAGAAGGACCCGCGGCGCACAGACGAGGTGGCCAGGACCCAGGAGCTGGTGATGGCCACTCTGCAGGAAGCAGCGGCCACGCAGGAGAACGTGGCCCGGAGGAAGAACTGGACGGTCGGCAGCGGCGGGAGGTCAGCTTGAGACCGGACTTGCCCCCTTGAGCGCTGGGAACCTCAGCTCGGGCGCAGGTGTCCGAGGCGGACTTCATCCTCCGTGGGCCCGACGGGGAGTTCGGACACGGGATGCCGCGCGGAGGACTCTGGGGGCCCGAGGAGCTGCCGCCGGGTGGGCACGTTACTCCCAAACACTGCACTGATTGCTATACCGCCCACATCGCGCGCCGGGGCCGAGACGGGGGTCGGACGTGGAGAATAGAAGGAACCAATAAAGCACGTTCCTCCACCCAGAGTGAGCCTTGCAGTCGGACGCCTATCACCTACCACTGCTTAGAGAGCTGTGGGGGTCGGTGCTGCGGGCGCAGATGACCGAGGCGCTGATGCGGCTGATGCCTGCCCCGCCCCCCATGACAGGCTGAAGCCCAATAGGCATAGCGACCACATTTTCAAAACAGTCAGGTCATGTGGTCTAAGTTTGAGTGTACTTCCGGGGATAAGCAAGCCACATTGTTGAAATCAGAACTATCCTGGAAAGTCATGTAGCAGTGGATGCCTGTGGAGAATACTGGGGGCTCCTGTCCCTTCAGCGAGGTGGAGAGGGGCATCTAGCACTTAACATGTGTCATAATGCTTTGTGTGGCCATTATTATTATATTTATGTGGGGGATTTTGGTGTGGCGTTCTGAACCCTTGACCTTGGTGTTACTACTCTCTAACCAACTGAGCTAACCAGCCAGCTCTGTATGGCCATTTTTCAACTTCTGGTTAAACAAGCTTAGAGGCTGACTTACTAAGTGAAAGGAGCGTGCTTTGACTCAGTCATGTCTTGGTTCAACTCCTGCATGTTACAAAACCTCTGAGTCTTAGTCCTATTCTATAAAGGTTGTAACTGTCTTGAGGATTGTTGTTAAAAAGATTAACTTAGGGCCGGCCCGGTGGCGCACGGGAGAGTGCACCGCTTGGCGCTCCCGCCGAGGGTTCGGATCCCATGTGGAGACCGGTTCCCGCTCACTGGCTGAGCGCGGTGCAGGTGCAACACCGAGGGCGTAATAACTTCGTATAGCATACATTATACGAAGTTATCGGAAAAAGGAAAAAAAAAAAGATTAACTTAAAAATGACAAATACAGTGCCTGGCACAGAGCAGCCTCTCAGTAAATGTAGTGGGTTTTTATTCCTCTTCCAAGGTTTTCACGGTAGAAGTTTCTAATCTCTGAATCCAGTCAGGTGCTATTGGAGATGCCACTGAGGGGATAAGATAAAGTAGTGGGTCACAGGCCCACAGCCAAGTCAACCAAGTCACTCCCTTTTTGTCTAGTATGTATCCTGTGGTTCCCAAGCAAGACTGCAAATGTAAAAAGGCTGCTTTTATTAAAGTCAGAACACTAAATCAAGCTTTGTAACACATAAGTATAAACCCAGATGGGAGCATTGGTGCTTTCAGCTGCTGGATTGTAGAGTCATAGGTGAACACATTTGTTATGTGTTGTGTTTAGTTTACCTGTGACCTCTTCCCTAGCCCAAGAATGAGAGGAAGAGTCAGCAGGTGTTTGACAGGACACTAGGGTGAGGTGATCCACAGCAGCAAGGGCTATCATGGAGAAGCCTGGTGGCAGTTCACAGCCTGAGCCCTAAAGTCAATCTCCCCAAGTGTGTCTCTAGGTTCTATTACTTGCTACCTGTGTCAGTTTGGGCAAGGATCATGTGCTTTGGTGTCCTGAACTCTAAAATGGGATAACTGTACCTACTCCTGTAATGAATAATGCTTTCACAGCTGTTAATATAAACCACTTAAAACTGTGTGGGGTACCTATTAAGTATTCAATACTCTTTAGTATAAGGAAAGGACCACAGTGTGGTTGGGACTTGCTCTTTAGAGCAGAAGAGATGCAGTTGCAAAAGTCACCCTAAAATTCTCCTCTCAATGTTTGTGGATAGCTACATAAAAAAACCACCCTTTTAGTAGCTAATATTGGGGATTTATCAGGTGCCCAGCACTGTGCCAAAGCACCTTATGTCGGCATTATGTAACCTTCACAACCACCCCAAGAAACAGACACTATATCTGTACTCTATTAAAGAAAAAACTAGGCTTAAAGAAGCTATAGCACATAGCTAGTAAGGACTTAAAGCTACTGCCTTACCCACAGGAGCAAAAGGTGCCATCCAATATACTCCCCACCCCCCAGCAGCTGATCAGACCCAGAGATAAGAAACAAATCTCCTGGGCCCGCCCGTGGCTCACTCGGGAGAGTGCGGTGCTGATAACACCAAGGCCACAGGTTCGGATCCCATATAGGGATGGCCGGTTCGCTCACTGGCTGAGCGTGGTGCTGACAACACCAAGTCAAGGGTTAAGATCCCCTTACCGGTCATCTTTTATTAAAAAAAAAAAAAAGAAAAGAAAAGAAACAAATCTCCTTCTTGGAAACTAAAGATGAAGAGGGTCTATTTCAGGGGCCGGCCTGTGGCTCACTCGGTAGAGTGCGGTGCTGATAACACCAAGGCCACAGGTTCGGATCCCATATAGGGATGGCCGGTTCGCTCACTGGCTGAGCGTGGTGCTGACAACACCAAGTCGAGGGTTAAGATCCCCTTACCGGTCATCTTTTAAGAAAAAAAAAAAAAAAGAAGAGGGTCTATTTCAAATGCCTTTCCTTTAGCTTTTTCCTCTGCCTCAGTTTTGTCCCTCCCAGCCACTCAGGAAGGAGTCAGGCATATACAGAACTCAGAGGCTCTATTTATTAGAGACGTCAGTGCTTTATCAAAGATGAAGAGGTCAGAGAAGGACAGTGGGATAAAGGCCCCTCAGCTGGGACATTTCTTGGCCACAATAAGGACAGCAGAAGGCACAAGTCCTGAAGATAGAAGAGAACACAAAGATACTTGTTTTTCGCTCCCAAAATTCCCGACCTCATACCATCTCCACAACGTCCCTTCTCTTTGCATCCCTTCTTTCCCCAGGCATTCCCCCCCAAGTCCTGGTTTCTGGTCCCAAATGCCATACCCAGCTCCTGCAGAGGCCGCTCCATGTCAGCCTCTGAGAAGGCTCGTCTAGGGAAGCCGCTGAGCAATTGCACAGGGTCCTGGCCCCCTCCAGGTTCCTCCCCACGGTGGAGCTCCACATAGAGCCTCACGGCTGCCAGCTGTTCCCGGGCCCTGAATGTCTGGGTCAGTGAGGTCCCATCTGGCAGCCTGACCTAGAGAGCAAGGAGACACCCAATATTGTGAGCATTAAAACTGAGCGAGGTGCCCAAGTAAGGAAAAGATGAGCTAAAGCTAGCCCCTCCTTCCCCTTAGATTGAACCAGCACAACTACTATTTAAAGTACCAAAGGAACAACCACTCTGCTTTACTAAGTGATGAAGAGAGACCCCCAGCTCCCTCACAATCAAAGACAAAGGCAAGATTATAGAAAACTATCTCTATAAATACCACCTCATGCAAATAGCTGTGTAATAAACCAAATAAAAAAACATTACAAACAAGTTAAAGGGTAATTGCTGAGTAAGAGGAAGGTATGGACTTAAATAAGGCTGGGGCACGTGAAATTTGATATCTTTCCTAAGAGTAGAGGAGGTAGGATTTCAAAAGTCATTTACAAAGAAGGGAGAGATTTGGCAAAGAGACCATTAACTGAAAAAAGCTCTGAGCTGGGCACCTTACAGGCCAAGAAAAGGGTCCCAGGAACAAGACAGGAATCAGAATGAGTACCTGTATGCGACACTGGTCATACTCCCTCTTGGTGGGAGGCTCCTGGCTGGGAGAGGAGGGAACAGGACCTGGCTCTGCTGCTGGCACGGATGGCCGAGAACCTACGCTACCACCATACTAGAGGACAAAATAAACACTCGCTCAGGCACTCACCCACCCTCTTCAGAAATAGACTGTATAGGGCTGACCCGTGGCTCACTTGGGAGAGTGTGGTGCTGATAACACCCCCCCCCCCCCCCTATATAGGGATGGCCAGTGACCACACCATGCCGAGGGTTGCGATCCCCTTACCGGTCAGGAAGGAAAAAAAAAAAAAAAGAAGAAGAAGAAATAGACTGTATAGGGCTGACCCGTGGCTCACTTGGGAGAGTGTGGTGCTGATAACACCAAGGCCACGGGTTTGGATCCCTATATAGGGATGGCCAGTGACCACACCATGCCGAGGGTTGCGATCCCCTTACCGGTCAGAAAGGAAAAAAAAAAAAAAAGAAGAAGAAGAAGAAATAGACTGTATAAGCCCATGCTTCCTTTCTGAAGCTAGAAAAAGGGATTTACTATTCCACCCACTCCATTGCCCCTAGTGTCTTCCCAATCACCTACCTTCTTGGCTCTCTCTGCTTTGTCTCTTTCTATCTTTTCTCGGACCCTTTGTCTGGAATGCAGACAGGAAGAAAGTAGATCAGACATAAACAAAACAAATCTTGATTTCTTTCTCATTGATTTCTTTTCCCCATTACCCAGACCTGGCTGCTAACTCTTCAGCCTTTTCCCTCCTCCGCTCCTCAGCAGCCCGGCGCATCTCATCTTCCTGTAGCCGCTGTCGTGCAGCCGACAACTCTTGCCCTTGTCTCCTTCGCTGCCGTTCCCGTTCCAATGCCTCCCGCTCCTCTCTTTCTTCCCGCTCCCGCTGCTTCTGAGCCACTAGTTCCAACATCCTGTGTTGAAGAAAGGAAAGAGTTCAAAGGAGCAGGAATGCTAGTGGGAAGGTTAATTTACAACAAGGGACTCAACATCATCAGGGAACGTGTGTCCCCAGAGAGATGAAAGAAATGAAAAGGAAAATGCCAAGAAAGGACAAAGGGAATGTGGAAAGGTCAAGGCTCTTTGACCAGACTCGTATACTGGAGAGAGATGGAAGATGATCCTCAGATATGTGAGACTGTTCCTTACCCTACCTCTTAGTCTGTTCCTGTCTTTCCTCTTCACTCAAAATGGGTTTGCTTTCTCCAGCAGCAGCCCCAGGTCCTACAAGCAAGCAACCAGTATTATTGCCCCTTCAGATTCTCCTCGGGTCCTCCTGAATAATCACACCATGTCCCCCAGTCAGGACCTTCAGGGCCACCTTGCTCCAAGGAGGTGGGTTCCCGTCCCAGGATATGTCCAAGGGGAGTCTCTAGAGGCTCGTCCACATCGGGGTCGTCTTCGTGCTCCATCAACCTGGCAGGGAAAGTCGGCAAGGAGGTTAGCGTTGAGGCTGCCCTTCCCAGCAGCTCCCAGTCTTCCGCCTCTTGATCTGGGCGCTCACCAGTCCATCGCAGCCTCGATACCCTGGTTCCCTGTGAGAGCCAAAGCCTTCTCCCTGGGGGCAGAAACACTGTGAATAGCGCCCACGAGCCATGGTGACGGTCGGGCTGGGACACAGAGCCTGAAACCAGGCTGGGGTAAAGGCCGGGACCAGTCCGCGGCCTCCCACCCCCGCGAGCAGGGGGTTAGGAGGTCTCCCTTACGCGCGTCCCCTGGGGAAGCCCATCTCGATGAGACTCTCCAGAGCCGTTAGTTCCGCCATGGCGCCGCTTCCGCGGGGACCTGGTATGGCGAGAAGGAGGGCGGGAAGGGTCAGCGCTGGGTGACCCCACCGCCGCCCCCGGCCGGGCGCTCGCTCACTCACCCGGCTCTGGACTCGCCGGGAACACCGAAGAGAAGAAAGCCAACGGGAAGCGGAAGTGCCCGAATCTGTTTGGATCACGTGACGGCAGGGGTGGACGGAGGCCGACGAGAGCCAGAAAACTTCTTGGTGCTGCCGGGACGCTGGATGGGGGCGGGGGTGGGGGGAAGGGCTGCGTGTCGGAGTTGTGAGCAGGGTGGCGACCTTCCAAGCCCAGGCGTCTGGCAGCTGTGGGGAAGAGGGCTGGTGCGGCTTTGGAACCCGTGGGCGGAATGAAGCCAGCTCCAGGAGCTTCACACTGCCTCACCCTCCTTAGAAATTAGAAGGAATATGGCCCTGTTGCGCAACCTGTTGGAAAGTGTTTATCAAGAGCCATAGAAATGAGCATGCTCTTTGACCCACTCATCCTCTCGGGGGAATTGAGCCATCTGACTGCCAAAGGGATCTTTGCGAAACACAATATTTAATCATGTCATCACCTCCCTGCTGAAAACTTCTCCATGATACCCCAATAATCAATCAATCATCTAGGAAAAGATTTACTTTTTTTAAACTTTTTTTTCTTTTTTTAGCGGCTGGCCGGTATGGGGAACTAAACCCGTGACCGTGGTGTTATAAGGCTGCACTCGAACCAATTGAGCTAACCTACCTGCCAGCTTAGGGCAAAATGTAAATGCTGATTGTCTGACTTCCTCCCTGCTCCTCTGCACACCACCCCACCTCATCCCCGGCCTTTTTTTTTTTTTTTTTTTTTTTTTTTTGGCGCCCCACCTGTAAAGTGGAGAAAAAAAATAGCACCTATCTTAAGTGCCTTGCAAGATAGTATCCTGTAAATGCTGGTAGTTACTGTGCAGTTTCATCTCCCACCACTTGAGGGTAACCTGTGCATGTTACAAAACAGGTCCTAACTCTCCGTTTGGCCTTTGCATCTACCAGTTCCTCTGCCAGAGATGCCCTGCCTCTTCTCTCAGCTTGGTTAATTCCCAATAATTTTTCAGGACTACAGGATTTCCTTTCTAGGGAAAGCCTGCTTTGACCACCCCTGGCTACCTCCCAGCTCCAGTGCTTACCCCATTTAAGCATGTCTCCCTGCTGTGTAGTCATTGTTGATTACTTAACCCTTCACCACTACCTAGGCTGTTAGATCCCTGAAGGTGAAGCTCACTTTAAAAGTTGATCAGAAGGAAGAGTAATAATAGCAGTTACCGATATTGATAATATGTGCAGTAGAGACTTTTAAATGATTAATTCATATTTAATCATCACAACAATCCCTAAGATGTAGATACTATTATTAGTCACAGGAAACACAGAAAGATGAGATGATTTACCTAAAGTCACAAAGCTAGTAAGTAGCAGAGCTAGGATTCAACCCATCCAATGAGTGTTCGCTAAGCCACTATGCTATGGTAAGGTGAAGATCATCAGCTCTAAAGTTGTGCAGTTTAGTTCCAAATCCTAACTCAACTCCTTAGTTGTAGCTTCAAATCATTTAGAACCTCAAATCTCACATCTGTGAAAAGGTAATACCATCTCTTGGAATGATTGTGGTGAAGATTAAGTGAGAATGCATGTAAAGTGAGCCTTTAATAATAAGATACTCCCCTTACCAGCCAACCGCTCAAAAAAACCAAAAAACAAAAAGATAGTAGGCCCTCTTATTATTCATAAATGAATGAATGCTTAGGAAATACAGGAATTAAATTAAAAGGCACAAGGTATTCACTGCAGTGCGATTATAAGTGTGTTCTAGATAAAAAATATACTCTAAATTTATTCTAGAGCTTCAATAATAAAAGAATGATTAACTTTTATAGTATTGCTTTTTTCACCTACTTCCAGGTAAATACCCTCTAGAAATATACAAACGTGAGGATACACCAACAAGGATGTCCATGGGAAACACTGGAGACAACTTAAATATTCCAAAAAAGAGCGATGGCTAAAGTCAGTTAAGGGGCCGGCTCGTGGCTCACTCGGGAGAGTGCGGGGCTGATAACACCAAGGCCACAGGTTCAGATCCCTATAGAGGGATGGCCGATTAGCTCACTTGGGAGAACATGGTGCTGACAACACCAAGTCAAGGGTTAAGATCCCCTTACCGGTCATCTTTTTTTTTTTTTTTTTTTGTCTTTTTTCGTGTCCAGCAACGGATCGCAACCCTTGGTGTTGCTCCCACACCCCGCTCAGCCAGTGAGCGGGAACTGGTCTGTATGTGGGATCCGAACCCTCAGCGGGCCTATAGAAAGTTATGTAGACTTTTACATAACTAAGGAGGCTATGATTTATCAACATGAAACATTGTCCATAAGTGAACAATGAGTGAAAAAATAAAATATTTGCATTTCATAAAGAAAGATCTGCTCTGCTAATGGCAATCACCTCTTAAGGAAGGAGGGAAATTTTCTCCTTGTACTCTTCAGTATTACTTGGATTGTGTATGTGTTACTTTTATACTTAAAAAAAAAAGGCATAAGAATGGTAAAAGTGAGGATTATATTATGTAGCAACATAAAACAGACTTTTTTTTTTTTTTTTTTTAAGATGACCGGTAAGGGGATCTTAACCCTTGACTTGGTGTTGTCAGCACCACGCTCACCCAATGAGCCAACGGGCCATCCCTATATAGGGATCCGAACCCATGGCCTTGGTGTTATCAGCACCAAACTCTCCCGAGTGAGCCATGGGCCAGCCCCCAAAATAGACTTTTCTACATCTAATTAATTTAAAAGTAAATTCAGAAGTATGTATACTACTCTGAAAAATAGGTGTGTGGACAGGAAATTGAAAGAGATCATGAAAAATGAAAATGTCTGGGCAGGCCCGTGGCTCACTCAGGAGAGTGCGGTGCTGATAACACCAAGGCCATGGGTTCCGATCCCACATAGGGATGGCCGGTTAGCTCACTTGGGAGAGCGTGGTGCTGACAACACCAAGTCAAGGGTTAAGATCCCCTTACCGGTCATCTTTAAAAAAAAGTAAAGAAGGGGCCGGCCCGGTGGCGCACTGGATAGTGCGCCGCTTGGGAAGCGCGGCGGCGCTCCCGCCCGAGGGTTCGGATCCCACATACAGACCGGTTCCCGCTCACTGGCTGAGCGAGGCGCGGGAGCAACGCCGAGGGTTGCGATCCCGTTGCCGGTCCCCGGTCTGGTACGGGGGCAACACTGAGGGTTGCGATCCGTTGCCGGACACTGAAAAAGACAAAAAAAAAAAAAAAAGAAAAGAAAAATGAAAATGTCTTACTTTTAAATTCTTTTAATGTTATTACAGTGGATATACAATAAACACAAATGGCGGGGGCTGGGGTGGGGAGAATACCAAGGGAGTAATTACTTGGTATTACTGTCATTTTTGTTTTGTTTTAAGTAGCAAGAACACAAGCTTGTCCTAGACAGCAGCCTGGGCCGTCCCTACCTTCACCCCACCTCGGTCATTTCGCTCAGACACAGGTAAACGCTGATTCAGGTGTGCTCGTCCCCAGCAACTAAACAAAAGGTAGAGGAGAAGGGGGTGGTCTCCAGCACCAAACTCCCACCCTGCAGAGGCTTATTCTCAAAATCCCCCTGAAGCCATCCACAGTGGCAGAGCGCTTTTGAGAGTCTGTGACAGCGGTCAGCTAAGGACAGCCAATGGGTCAGATCTGACCTGCGAGTTTTAAGGCCCATGAGCTAAGTATGGTTTTTACATTTTTCAGTTGTTACATTTCAAATGGTCATGTAAATATTTACATCATATCCTCGATTTTATCCTCTGGAACCCTCAAAGCCTAAATTATTTACTATCTGGCCCTTTAAAGAAAAATTTGCTGACCCTCTGCTCCTTCCTAAACCTGGGCCAGGAAACAGAGCGACAAGTCCGGGACCTAGACAAGCTCTCGGCCCACAACACCGAGACGCAGCTGTGGCCCAGGCGCCCGGGGCTGGCTCCCGCCGCTGCCGTCCAGGTGTCCCGCTCCTCCCCGGCAGCCGGGCTGAGCGCTGCAGGTGTGGCGCGGCTGTGCCCGAGACCTCGCCCCCGACCCCTTTTCAGAGCGCCCCCGCGGTTCGGGCGGTGGCGCGGCGCGGGCAGCCCCAGCGGTCGCGCAAGCAGAAGTGCCAGGTCAGGACGGAGCAGCTGAGCAGGGCCAGGGCCGTGCCCACCCCCACGGCCGCATGCACCAGGGTGAGCGGTCTGGGCGGCATGGAGAGCCGGCCGCAAGGCCCGAAGGCGGGGATGCCGTCCCTGGGCACGAGGCTCTCCCCGGCCTCGTTAGCGGCCACCACGCAGACGACATAAGCGCCCCCCGGCTTCAGTCCCTTCAGTTCTGCTCTGCGGACCGTAGCGTTGAGGAGGGGCCCCTTCTGCGGATCCCCGCTGCCTTCCCAAAGCAGCAGCCAGTAGTGGTGGACCGGGGAGAAGGGGGCACACCAGTGGACCACGGCGCGGCCCTCCTCCGCCACGATGCGCACTTCTCCCAGGCGCGGCTGGTTGGGCGGCTGAGCAGGGCTGGAGAGCCCTGGGCACAGGCAGGCCGCAGGCCCGGGCCTCTGCAGCTCCTTGCAGGGCACCTGCATGTGGCGGCAGTGATCGTAGTCGCAGCGGACAGGCGGCCACTCCGTGTTATCTTCCTCCTCTTCCTCAAAGTCTTGAGGGGCCATGGGTTGAGCTCTGGGGATCAAGGAGAGGGTCACGGCCAGGAGCCACAGAATGCAGGGAGAGCCCAGCATGGAGTCTGGAAGGGAAGGTGTGGAGAGGTACCGGCGGTTCAGCCACATGCCTTCCAGGCCTCCTGCCCAGACAAAACCTCTGGGGACAGGACCACACAACTGGGGACCAAGATGGGAAGAGGAAAGGGGAATGAGACAGACACACTCATTTGTCAAACAACTTCTGAATCCAGGCCAGGTGATTGGTTTTGGACAAAAAAAGATTAAAATACGGCCTGAGCTGTGGGGAGAGACAGATGTGTGACCAGCACTTGAATAAACAAAGTGCTGGGGGAGAGAAAAGGAGGAAATAATTTCCTCAGGCCAGGGAAGAAAGATGGAATAATTACCCGCTGCCACCCAGAGAAAAATCTAATAATACAATTATCGGTCAGTGACACATGCAAGAACCCGGAAAGCAAACAGAAGTGAGAAAGAAGAGATAGAACAGAAGGAAAACCTCACTCACTACCTGTTATCCATTCAAATCCTGTCCAAGGAGTCCTGAACAGCCCTCTCCTACCACCCACCTTCCTGGCCCACAGCAGACCCTCACCGACGGGTAGGCCTTGATGCAGTGGGAATCCGCCACCAGATGTCTGTGGGTAACAGGCCGAGTGATCCCCAGGATTGCAGGCGGTGCTGTCAGGTTGCATCTGCAATTTCAACTCTGGTTTGGCTTGAAGCTTTTATACCCTTTGTGATGTCACCACCTAGCCCCCTCCCATTCCCCCTTCCCCATGAGGCCCAAAAAGAGGGCTGGTCCTTTCAGAGGGCCTGAGTCACAGGACCAGGGATGGGGAAAACACATGCAGCAGTGGTCTCAGCTGGAGGCCAGGACGCCTGGGTTCTGAAAAGGGAATGGAATGTGGAAAGCAGCCAGGAGATGAGAATTCAAAGGCTGAAGTCATATGAAGGGATGGGGAGGGGAACATGGAAGAGACCTGGTTGGTATCAGAAAGGAAAACAGCTGTGGACAGCATGGGGCCTGAGTTACAAAATGCTGTTTTGGTGAAAATCATACCACATCCATGGCAGTCATTTCCTGTCTTCTGCCTCCCAGTGGACAGAGAAAGGGAGGGGTGCAGAGGGCAGCCAGCCCTCCAGACCCGCCCTACACTATCCCCCTCCCCTGAGGGTGATGAGAGTCACATGGATGGAGCAGCAGGAAGCCTGCTAAGGGCCAGGATCGGTTCTCTCTCTTTGGCCTTCCTAGGCTTATGAATGGAAACAGCTGTGCTTAAAATCGCCCAGGTCTAGAAGCCTTCGCCTGAGGTAGCCCCTGACAAGACAACTTCCTCTAGTGGGGGCGAGTGGGAGATGCCTGGGGAACACTGTTTTCAAATGGCCCTGAATCCGTTCTAAAGAGTCAGGGGGCTGGCCGGTTAGCTTAGTTCGTAAGCTGTTGACTTTGGTGTTATAACACCAAGGTCAAGGGTTCAGATCCCCATACAGGCCAACTGCCAACCAAAAGAAATAAAAAAAATAATTAAAAAATCAAAGAGTCAGGTAAGCAGCTGGCACGAAAATAGTTTATTGGAGGAAGGGGACAAAGGGGAGGGGTGAGGTGGGAAAGTGCTGGAATGTGAGGAATCTTCCCTCTATTCTTCAGGAACTAGAGCAGGTGGGGCGCTGTCGGACAGCCCCCACAGAGGGTGCAGAGCTGCCCAGAGTCTCTGGGGCAAGCGCAGGGGCAGGCAGGTTGGCCTCCGTCAGCAGAGCTGCATCTTCCCAGGAGCCTGAACCTGGGCCAGGAAAGGGAAAACCAAAATCCCAAATGAGATACTAGTTTAAGCAGGGCTGGGCCCACCCCCAGCTCACCCAGGCTCCATTGCAGGGTGCCCCTCACCATCACTGGCCTCCGGCTCTAGCTCCTCCTCTCCATTCAGGGGCTGCTGATCTGGCTTCTCCTCCTCAGACAGATGACCCTCTGCAGCCAAAGGGGGAACACAGAGGTCAGCCCTGACACTACAGGGGAGCACTCGGGAGAAATCAGGAAGGAGGGGATGCTGCTGCTGCCGCTGCTGCTCCATACCTGTCCCTGAGGGATCCTCAGGGCTCTCACCGTCTTCTGTAACATCTGACTGCTGGGTTGACTCCTCCTGGCCTTCAGGGCCTGCACCTCCAGGGCGGGCAGAGGATAGGTTAGGGTTAGGGGGGTCTTTCCTTTGACGCTCAGCTCAGTACAGCCTCATACTAGATGAAGCAAGCACCCCCTCTCACCCAGCCCAGCCCCAACCCACACCTTTACCTTCCTGATGGGGAGAGATCCTTCGCTGTACTTCCTTTCGGGAACCATCTCTTTTTCGCATATTAACCTGTAAAGGAGAAGCTACTGAGCAGCGGGGACTAACCTCCCTCACCATTTATCAGGGCCTTCATGCCCTTACCCTCAACATGCCCCTACCCGCCCACAAAGACAGATCATGAAGGAGAGAAAAAGGGGGTCCTTGCCCCTTGCGACCTGCATAGAGAAGCGGTGTCGGGGCCAGATGCCCCCCCACACCCACTGCATGTAGCTGAAGATCATGATGACGCTGAGGAAGGTGAAGTTGCTGGCAACACCTATGAAGGCGCAGGTCATCGGGAAGTTGTATAGCAGGTACCTGAGGCAGGAAGCAGGGACATGAAGAGGGTAGCAATTACTGATGAGCACCAGCCTTCTCATTTCCCAGAAATAATCTCTAGGGCAATTCAAGTGGGTTTGGCTAGAGCTGGCCTCTACCTCCCCTGTCTCCCACCCACACAACTACCAGAACCACTGCACCAGGTTCTAATACAGGCCAAGGACCTGTGGGCAGTGTCAGCATTGCAGGGCCATAGGCAATGGCTGTCTCTCAAATGGCACCCCATCTCCTGCTGAGCCAATGGTGCACAGCAGTAGTTTTCAACTCTGGCTGCACATCAGCATTCCCTAGGGTGCATTTAACAATCCTGATATCCAGCTATGAACCTGCTGTGGGTTAAATGTATCCCCCAAAGTTCATATATCAAAGCTTGACCTCTATTGTAAAGGTGCTAAGAGGGTGGTAAATCCAATTATAGTGTTCGAAAGGTGGGGCCTTTAAGAGGTGATTAGACTCTGAGGACCATGCCCTTCGGAATGGATTTTTTTCTTTTTAATTTTCTTTTTATTTTTGAATGGATTGATCCATTTGTGGAGTAATGGGTGTGGTTCTGATGGCTTTAAAAGGATAGCAAGTGAGGAGGTTAGCTCTCTCTTGCTCACCCCATTCCTGCCTTGTGACACTTTGTGTCACTGTGTAGTCAGCACTAAAGAAGGCAGCCCTCACCAGATGCTCCCCTCCTTTACTGTGGACTTCCCAGCCTTCAAAACTGTAAGAAATAAATTTCATTTCTTCATAAATCACCCAGTTTCAGGTATTCTGTTATAATCAATAGAAACGGACTAATACAGAATTTAACAAATTCTGGTTCAGTTGGTCTGGAGTGAGGCCAGGCACCAGGACTTTTAAAAAGTTCCCTAGGGAGCTGATATGCTTATGTGCAGCCAGTGTTGAGAACCTCTGGCCTGTGTAAAACCCGATGCAATGCTGTTCTGTAAACCTGTTACCTCTACTTGGGACTCTCTTCATGTAAGGACAGTGCCCATGAGAGTCACCGAGGTCCACTTCAGTGGCTCCTCACCTGAGCCCAGTGAAGTGGGCATGGATGCGGAGGTACGCTCCATACATCTGGATGCGCTTGCTGTGGATCTCAATAATGGCCCCGGTTGTCGGCACGTACTGCAAAGCAGGTAGAGTGAGGGCAGCGTCAGGCCAGGGTCCTGCTGCTGTCCTTCCTACCAGCCCAGAGGCTCTTTAGGTGGAACTCTGGGCTAACGGGGAGGGCTGTCTCTTCATCAACTTCACCTCACTTACCGAGTTCTCTCTATAGTCCGCATAGAGCTCCACCTCCAGAAGCTGCTTCTGCTCTGCAAAGCCAAACAGCAGGAGGCTGGAGAAGACCAGTGTGTCAAGCATCTGGAGCAGGTCTGAGCGGTAATGCAGCATCACCTGCCAGGGTCAGAAAGGGAGAGGTTAGGGACAGGTGCCCCAGCTTCCCACAGCCCTACCTCCCCCTCAACCACCCTGAGCAGTCTATGGAGGCTAATTCTGCCTCAGCTCCCCTTTTCCCTCACCCTTACTTCCTACCCAAGTCTTGACCCAACCATTCCAACAGTCTGAGCAACCTCTCCCCTTGCCCAACCACATTCCTCCACTCTAATACAACAAAAACCCTCTTCCACGACACCTTCCTAGTTAAGCTCAATGCTTTCTCTGATCTACCTTCCCCCCAAAATAGTTCTGTAATCCAGGATTGGATTGGATCTAAGTCCCAGTGTACCATCTGAAGCTCCCCCACCCCCATCCCCATGTAGACATCCAGGAATTTAGTTGACAATTCGTGTAAGAATGGAGTCTAACATTTATTGAACACCCATTATGTGCTAACAAAAACTTTACATCTCCTCACTGAATACAAACGAGTCTTGCTATAAGCCAGTTACTATTATATCTGTTTTATACCCAAAGAGTTGTCAGTTGTCCTGTAGCTAACACGTTTTTGAGTGAGGACACACCCCAGGTCTGCCTGGATCTAAGGCCTCTGTTTTCTGATATTACCCCAAAGTGGGACATGCTCATCAGACATCTGGGGTGTCGGGCAAATGATTCTGGTCTGGTGAGCTGATTCCTCTTCCCTTATCTTGACGTGTGTGTGACCTATCCAGATATTGTCATCATTCTCCACAACTTCCCAGACAGACCATGAACACTTACCGAGCGTGAAGAAGTGGAGATGATTCGGCCACCTCTGGTGTAGCATGAAATGGTGACCAAGAACATGCCCAAATCTTGATTCACAGGGGACTCCGGCAGCTCAAGCTCTAAGGTAACGCGATACGGCTGTCCATACATCAGCACCTGCCCAAGGTAGCCCCCATCTCTTTTCAAAAAAATTTTTTTTAAATTATACTGTTCCTGTTAAAATTATACCTGTATAAAATTATACCTCCCTCCCCCAACTACTCTGCCACAGCCTCCCTGGTTAGCATCACTGGCCTCTCAATCTCTCACGCCAAGAAGGTGCTGCCCCCTTCTGGTGGCTGGGTCTTCCCACTCCTGACGTCTTCAGTATCTGGTTGGCTCTTCTGAATCGGACGCACGACTCTGTTCTGAGGAAGGCTGTGTCATATTTCTTTTCCAAAATTGAATCCTCATGTTGCTATCTGGGCCATCTGTGTGTGACTCAGGCCTGTGTGCCAGTGAGGCTGTCCCTGGGGCCTAGGCTGCCCTCACTTACATTAATTAACCAAGTGCCAGCAGTTACAACCTCCCTAGCCAGCTCTCACACAATCCCCAATGCTCCAGATCATCTTTATGTTATCCTGGGTCCCTTATCTTGGTTCTGTTGGTAGAGCCCTGAGACTCATAATGGGAAGGCTTCTTCACCAGGGTCAACCTCAAAAACTTAAGGATTTGCCACCAAACATACCTAGTTTCTCCTGACTTTTCCTGTCTTCTTCTAATCCCTTTATTTAATGATTCTTAACTAGCAACCTAACCCCCTCACAGTGGTGTGTAAGAACCACAGAGGTGATGGTAAAGCTTTTGCTTTTAACCAAAAAGGAAATGGGTTTAAAAAAAAAAAGTTGAAAAATACTGCCCTAGCCCATACTGAACTGCCTCCAAAATCTAGACACAGCTTTGAGGGTACTCTGAGTGTTTATCTCTAAGGCAAAGGTGAAAAACTACAGATAGAGGCCTTTCTTTACACAGATTCTTATTTTCAGTCTCAACTATCTCTTGAAAAAAATGGATTCCATCCTCCCGTAGAGGCAGGATGATTCTAAACCAGTTCCTTCACAAATTCTCTGAAACATTAAATTAGGTAGTTCTCTGGGTGGTTGGAGGAATATAGGGATGTGTATGACTGCTAGCTAATGGGTATGGGGTTTCTTTTAGGGGTGATGAAAATGTTCTAAAACTGATTGTGGTGATGGCTGTACAACTCTGTTTTATGACTGAACTGTACACCCAAAGTGGATGAATTGTGTGGCATATGAATTATATATCTCTCTCTCTTTTTTTTATTTATTTATTTTTTTTCCTTTTTGTCTTTTTTCGTGACCGGTAACGGGATCGCAACCCTCGGTGTCGCGCCTGCACCGCGCTCAACCAGTGAGCAGACCAGTCTCTATATGGGATCCGAACCCTCGGCGGGAGTGCCACCACACTCCCAAGCGCCGCACTCTACTGAGTGCGCCACCGGGCCGGCCCCTGGTAAGAGTTTTCTGGATAGCGTTTGGCTACCTGGTGGTAAACTGGACAATGTCACAGGATACAGTCTCCCAAGTTATTTGTACTGTCTGCACACCAATGCCAGAAAACTCCAGACTCCACAGTTTACACTCCTCCCTTCAGAGGAGTGACATTTGTATCTTGAAGCAGCTTCCTCCCAAGTGCCACTTTCAAAAAATAACTTCAAATGTTTTTAAATTCATAGTAAGTTTTATCAGTGATTGCTTCTTTTTTAAATAAAAGATGACTGGTAAGGGGATCTTGACCCTTGACTTGGTGTTGTCAGCATCACACTCTTCCAAGTGAGCTAACCGGCCATCCCTATATAGGGATCCAAACCCGTGGCCTTGGTGTTATCAGCACCACACTCTCACAAGTGAGCCATGGGCTGGCCCTAGTGATTGCTTCTGATTATGTTACTGACAACTCAAAAAAACTCTAGTACAGTAACCCCCCTTATCTGCAGTTTCACTTTCCGTGGTTTCAGTTATCAGTGGTCAACCATGATCCAAAAATATTAAATCGAAAATTCCAAAAATGAACAATTCATAAGTTTTAAATTGCACGTCACTCTGAGTAGTGTGATGAAATCTCACGCCATCCAGCTCTGTCCAGCCCAGGACATGAATCATCCCTTTGTTCAGCATCTCTGCGCTGTATATGCCACCTGCCTGTCAGTCACGTAGTAGCTGCCTTGGTTATGAGATCAACTGTCCCAGTATCACAGTGCTTGTGTTCAAGTAATCCTTATTTTACTTAACAATGGCCCCAAAGCACAATAGTAGCACTGCAGGCAATTCAGATATTCCAAAGAAAGAGCATCCTTTAAGCGAAAAGATGAAAGTTCTCAATTTAATAAGGAAAGAAAAAAAATCATATAATGGGGTTGCTAAGATCTACAGTAAGAATGAATCTTCTATCCATGAAGATCTCAAGGAGGAAAAAGAAATCCACGCTAGTTTTGCTGACCCACCTCAAACTGCAAAAGTTACAGCCACAGTGTGTGATAAGAGCTAGTGAAGATAGAAAAGGTATTAATTTGGGGGTGGAAGAAGTGAACAGAAATGTGTTCCAATTGATGGCAATTGGGTTCAGTAACATCTGTAGTTTCAGCATCCACTGGGGGTCCAGGAATATATCCCCTGAAGATAAGGAGGGACGACTGAAATCCAAAATGATGTTGATCCTCCATAGTCCTTTTTTTTTAAAGATGACCGGTAAGGGGATCTTAACCCTTGACTTGGTGTTGTCAGCACCACGCTCTCCCAGTGAGCTAACCGGCCATCCCTATATGGGATCCGAACCCGTGGCCTTGGTGTTATCAGCACCACACTCTCCCGAGTGAGCCACGGGCCGGCCCCCTCCATGGTCCTTTTTAAGTGTTCAGGGATCCTATCCATTTTCAGAGCCTCCATCAACTTGCAGAGTAAAGAAGGTTAAGTCCCTATTTGCATTTCTCAGTGTTTCCAGGTTTGTTGAAGTCACACTGACATCTGGCCGGTCCTTTGGCACAGTCCCCTTGGTAATGACATGTCACATGTTTGTCAACAGTTTCATAATTTTATACACATGCTTTCAAAACTCTTGAGTAGATGCTCACTTGTTTATTCACTTAGGTCTAAAACATACTGCTTACTTCATCTAGTAGATATGACCTGTTTCATGATATGTTTTTTTTTTTTTAAAGATGACCAGTAAGGGGATCTCAACCCTTGACTTGGTGTTGTCAGCACCACGCTCAGCCAGTGAGCTAACCGGCCATCCCTATATAGGATCCGAACCAGTGGCCTTGGTGTTATCAGCACCACACTCTCCCGAGTGAGCCACGGGCCGGCCCTTCATGATATGTTGAGAATAAGAACATTCCTAACATCTGCTGCAGAAAGATCAAGACACATTCAGATTTTATGTTCAACCTACCTTTCCTTCAGAGCCTTCCTCTTAGTCTCTACTAAATCCCTGCTCTGTAAGCCTTCCTATCTCAAGTCATCAAAGCTCTAATGAAACCTCTCTCCAGCTCCCATACTCACCCGATCTCGTCCACCCTTACCCAGCGAGACATTGGCAACAGGGAAGGAGCAAAGTGAAGTGGTGGAGGAATCACAGTCGGTCCTAAATGAGAATGGGGGATGATATTCTGATAAGTTACAGAGTCTGCCTTACCTGTCTGCCCGCACACCTTGTCGGCCCCCCCTAGGGTTCCATCCTCTCCCCCATCCCTTCTCTCAGAGTAGGCACCCTTGTCTCTGTTAGAGAGAGAGATGGAAAACAAATGTGGCCAGGAGTTTCAAGATAACAGAATAATTCTTTCATTCTCTTCCTGCTACTTCAATTTATTTCCTCTCATTACAGCAGACATTCTTAGATGGGAATCTATAGACAGTTAAATAGTTCACACTTCAGTGTTTCTTTTTTTTTATTTAAGATGACTGGTAAGGGGATCTTAACCTTTTACTTGGTGTTGTCAGCACCACGCTCTCCCAAGTGAGCTAACTGGCCATCCCTATATAGGGATCCGACCCCATGGCCTTGTTGTTATCAGCACCGCATTCTCCCAAGTGAGCCACGGGCTGGGCCCCACTTTAGTGTTTCTAAAGACTCATTTGAGGAACTTGATAAAATGTAGATTCCAAGGGTCCCACCTCCAGAGATTCTGTTTCAGTAGTTTTGGTCTGGGGCCTAGTTTGAAAAACCTCCTCCAAAAGGATCCACAGATGGTCAAATTGTAGGCAAAATTGCATGTGGCTGTGTGTGTGCAGCAGATGCCTGGCATGTATATACATTTTTGTGGCAGGAAGGGTCATAGATTTCATAAGATCTATGTCTCCTAAAAGTTTAAGAAGCTCTCTCTACCTTAGAAACTACAGCTCATGACCAGGGACCCATGACAGGAAAAAAAAGATTTTGGACCATTGATAATAATGCCCTCATCAGCATCTGTTAATTGATCCTAAAGCCATTGTTTAGAAAAGGAGAGAGAATTTGGCAGGGTCTGTAAAATGGGACAGAACTATGGGGCCAGGCAAGAAGCAGGCCTCTGGGAGGCCAGTTTATGTAGGTCACCTTGCGTTTCCATAATCTCTATTATGCAGACTACTGTGAGTGGGAAGCAGTGTGTAAAAGGCAAATGGCTGCTTTCCTAATACCTCTTCTACTGACAGCCAGATTAATGAGATGACCCAAAGAGTTGGGTTGGTTCAAAATTCTACGGTAGTCCTAAGAGGTCTGATCCAACCTAAATAGAATTGACTCTCAAAATGACAGTCTAGAAGTGGAATTTTTTTTTTCTTTTTTTCCTTTTTCTTCTTAACTAGAATTCAGTAACAAGAGGCAGAACCGGGATCCTACATCCTGACCAGACCAGCCTTGGACTGTGAAAGGTGAGAAGTTCTGTAGCACACCTGGCTCAAGTTTCCTCATCTGTACATGAGGGGACTGAACTGTACAAAGTCCAAGGGCCCTTGCATCAATTCTCTCATAGGATTCCTCTACTTTAATGGAAGACCCCTCTCACCTGTAGTAGAAATGCACGGGGCTGAGGTGGCTGACTGTCGGCATGTAGGAATAGTAGAAGGAGCCATAGAGAAAGACCGATACCCAGAGCAGGAGAAGAATGGTGCAGAAGAGCATCCCAAACTGCAGCAGCAGCCTGCGGGCACGGCCGGCCAAGACATGGCCCACCTCCTGGGCCCACAGTAAGCCAGGTACTGGTGGGTCATTGACCATGGCAGGGAGAGCAGGGGGTCTGGCCCCAGGTTCAGGCCTTGAGTTCCTAGCTGCTCTGCCACTTGGACGCCACCCCTGCCCATCGGATGAGGCAGCTGGTGTTTCCTGCAAAGAGAGAAAGGAAAAGAATAGCTCCTTTCCCCAGGGAGGTGGGGACAAAAAAAAGACAAGCTTATTGCACTGGCTTTGAGGAACCAGAGACAGCAGGACAAAGAAAAGTCACTGTTTCATATGGCCACTCTCCAGATGACTGTGCTTCTCAGCCAATCATCCCTTCCCTTTCCTCCACTGTGCTCCCCTCGTCCCCAGTGCCAGAGCTCCTCAGGCTGAAGTCCTCCTCCAGCCATCTTATTCTGGGACAAACCACCTTGATACTCATTCACAGCAATACATAACATTGAGAACGAGCACCTTAAAATTCTCACAAAGAGTTTTACACACACGGTGACACTGAATCCACACGGCCAGGTGGTTGCACGGGAGGATGCGCAACCTGCCTAATGTCGTACACGTAAAGACAGCAGCCTAAGAGCAGGCACAATTGCTCCCCAAATTTCTCCTCTCCGTCTTGAGCTGCGCTCACTCCCCTTTGGCTCGCGCTGCAGCCAACGGCCGCTCCACGCCAGCCCCCTCGGTTCGGCGGTGGGCGCTGCGCCCGGAGCCCCCACCTAACCGCGCCACCACGGAAACTGGCCCCGCAGCGGCCGCAGCTCTGCAGACTCACCTGCCTCGCGCGCTGCCTGGGCAACCGCGAGAAGAGAGCGCCGGCTCCCGGGGAAGCCCCGCCCCTTTGCGCCAGCCGCCGCCATAGGCCGGGGGCGGGGCCTGCCCGGGGCAGGGTTCCCGCCTCCTCGCGCTCCCCACTGTCCTCCCTGAGGCCCGTTACCCTCCGGTTACCGTGACCAAAGGGGAAAGACGCCTCCTTCTAGGCCCCAAGATATGCCTCAGGGCATGCTGTGACTCAGCAGCGTCCCCTCGGCCCTCCTCCCACACCTTCACCGCCGGCGGCTTAACCACCGAAGCTGGGCGTGAAGCAGCCATCCAGCTGGCATTGATTTTCGTCGCCCACAGCTCCTTGGACCTGTAGGCGTCCAAGACGGGGCGCATTCGGCCGGGGGACGTGGCAGTCTGCGGGAACCTGTGCATCTTGCACGTTGCGCAGGCGGGCCGCTTGCCCTCTGTTCACAAGCGTGGTAGCATTCCAGCCCTGCGTTTTGTCCAGCCATTACGATGCGTGATCTACCTCCCCTGACCCTAACGGGATGTACACTCCCTCACAGTCCCCTCACACATTATCTAGACTAGGTCTTGGCAGGTGGCATCTTCTATTTTGTATATGTCTAATCACCCTAGATAAGGTCCTTCAGAGCGCAAGGCCAGTTTTGTGTACGTCTTTGCACAACGCTGCAGGCGTGGGAGGCAATCTATTCAAAATGTCCAGAATTCGTCAATACTGCTCCCCCTACCTGCTCCCCCCACAACTCCCTAGAAGCCCACTTATTCGCAGAATGTTTCTACCGACTCTCCCCACAAGGCCCCCTACCTCGTCTTTGTCCGGTCCTTTGATCTCGTCGCTGCACACCTCTTTTTCCCCAGCTTCTCCTTCTCTTTGGTCTGCCATTTCTTTAGACATCTTCCTGATGATGTACCTCCGCTCTGGATCTTCCACTCAAGTCAGAACGTGAAGTGGTGATCTAGAAGCTGATACCTGTAGCGCATCACATTTTCCTGGATATAGGGAATGCAGGGTCTCTGGGAGAGAAACGAAGATTCAGGTGCTAAGTGCTGTGTCAGGGTAGAGGGAGGAAGAGAGGAGGGGGGCGACTGCCCAGCTGATGTCAGATTTTCAAATGAGCAGGGTCCCCCCCCCCCCCCCCCCCCAGAACCCCCCCCCCGGCGGGGGGGGCCCCCCCCCCCCCCCGCAGCCAGTACAGACTCCACTGCAGGGGCTGTCACAGGCCCAGACCACCCCATTTGAGGGGGGAGTCTGCCTGGCCTCAGCTCCTTTGGGGAGGGCTCTAGCCCAGACTCAGGATGCCTGCAATGGGGGAGGGGCAGGTAGTGAGACAGTAATAGTGGGGGGGTGTGCAGGGTATGCAGGCGGCAGCCAGGCTCCCCCACTGGCCAGACAGTTGGTATACTCCGGGATCTGAGCAGCTCCTTCTAGCATCCTTCATCCTTCAGGTACCAGCCATCCGGGCAGTGCTTGAGCTGCAGAAACAGACCAGCCCTCGACAGACCTCTGGCCTGACCCTCCCCAGTGGCCTTCTCTTTATTAGCTGTTTCTGCATCAAATACTTTCAGCTGCACCTCCCTGCAGGGTGGGGCACTCAGCACAGGCAGAACCCCCAGTGACCCTACACCCCAGGCCTGCTGCCACTGCTGCCTGTCGCTTCAGGTGAGTAGGGAGCGGACTGTTTTTCTTCCATTGGGGTCAAGGAGGCAGATGGGGATGATGTGCTTTCCTCATTAGGGTGGGGCTCTTTCTGGTTGAGGCTTTCAGAACTGGGAACACACATGGCTTGAGGGAATGAAAAGCCTTAAATCATCCGTATAATGTCTAATAATCTGTTGCCTAGACCATGTGTGAGTTTGGGGAGTATCTCATCCCACCTCTCCATTTTTTCCACTGAGGAAGACAGGGATAGGACAGGCCACTGGAGAAGGGTGGGGATAACAGGGGAACAAAATATTGGGGCACAGCTCCAGCCTTGTAAAGGTTGGTGAGGAGTGAGCATGGAGCCTTCAGCTGAGAATATGCTCTGAGCTGTCTCTCTCTTTTCTCCAGGATGAAAGGGGAGACCCCTGTGAACAGCACAATGAGTATTGGGCAAGCCCGCAAGATGGTGGAACAGCTTAAGATCGAAGCCAGCTTGTGCCGGATAAAGGTGAGTGGGACCCTCGCTCCCGTTAGTTGGCCAGGCTGTGCTGTGCTGTAGGTTCCTAAAGCTTGGGATAAGAAATGCTCTCTTTCTTTGACACCCTGAGGTCAGGGGAGGAGTCTGGGGCTCTGCAAGGAGAGCTGTCCCCAGGTCTCTGTAGGGGATGAGGGAGGAGAAGATGGTCTCAAGGAACCCTAGAGATGGCAAGAAAACCCACTGGGGAGGAAGGAAAGTAGTCCCTTTGAGGAGTTCTGGCTAATAACCCCCCTCCTGGCTGTGCCCCAGGTGTCCAAGGCAGCAGCAGACCTGATGACTTACTGTGATGCCCACGCCTGTGAGGATCCCCTCATCACCCCTGTGCCCACTTCGGAGAATCCCTTCCGGGAGAAGAAGTTCTTCTGTGCCCTCCTCTGAGAGGCCCTGTCACTCCTCACAACTCCTCACCGTTCCCTCTCCTGGGCCCTTCTTTAGGTCTGTAACTGACATGAGCCCTTGAGGGTTCCCGAACCCCATTTCTAACCCTTGCCCAACCTGTGAGGTTATCTGAAGCACAAAGCCCTCCCTCCCCTATCTGTCGACCCCATTTCTCGCCCACTGTGGCCAACCCTCGGCGCCGCGTGACTTGGGGCACCCTTTGCTCCACCCACACAAGGGCCCTGGCAGACTGTGCCAACGTCCTGCCCGCTTCCCTCTGTGACCCGCTCTGACAATGGAGAGAGGGGTGGGCTGGGTGCTTGCTGTCAATCTCACCTGGAGCTATGGAAAGGGTAAAGCCATTTGAAGAATAAAGTTATCCAGAGCCTCAGACAGCTCCTGTGTTAGCGTTCTTGGGGGAGAGGGTCATCAGTCAATAGATTTGCCATACCCGGGGAACAGGCCAGTCAAAGCAGGTTAGACATTGTCAAGGATCTGAGATCTGTGGTGTAGGGGCGCGGGGAGATGGCGGGCGCGAGAGCGTCCCCAGTGGAAGAATTAAGTTACAACAGACACGCAGGGCTGCGGAGAGCACGCGCGCGCGCGCGCGCGCGCAGTGCAGGCAGATGAAAGGGAAAACAGACCGAATGGGGTGGATTTAGCGGGGGGATCGGGAGGGCAGTCGCAGAGCGGAGGAACTCGTAGGAGCGGAGGGGCGGGGCTTGGTTCCAGTTGCAGTGACAGGGGCCGGTTATACTCCTAAGATGGCTGCGCCCACCGCCGCCCCATTCCAACATGGCAGCCTCCACACCACGGCTTTTCACCGTACAGGGCTTCTCTTAAAATGGCGGCCCCCAGGCATCCAACGTTCCCAGTATGCTCCCTTCCGTGCTCGTCTGCCTCAAAATGGCTGCCCCTGCCCTCGCCAAGTCGGCGCCCGCGGCCCCCCCGGTGCCCCCGAGTCTGGAACTCGACATCCGATTCGGCCCAAGGCAACATGGACGGCTATAACGAGAGATCTCGGGCCAAGGAGTCCCAGGAGCGCAGCGTGGCCGGCGCTGGTCGCGTGGATCTTGCGAGGGAATCTAGGTTTCTTTCTTTTTTTTTTTTTTTTTTTAAAGATGACCGGTAAGGGGATCTCAACCCTTGACTTGGTGTTGTCAGCACCACGCTCAGCCAGTGAGCTAACCGGCCATCCCTATATGGGATCCGAACCCGCGGCCTTGGTGTTATCAGCACCGCACTCTCCCGAGTGAGCCACGGGCCGGCCCGGGAATCTAGGTTTCTACATCTTGCCAAGTAGAGGGGCCCTTTGGAGCGAACTATGGGTATGGGGGAATCACTGCTCGGCGCCGCCCATCACCAGGTGCCGTTCCCTGGTCGCTTCCGGGTCTCCCCAAGAACTGGATAAGCCCCAAATAGCTCAGTTTGGGTTTCCTGGTAGAACTGGGGCTCGCTTTGTGCCTTCATTTTCCCCTCAGGCCGATTCAGCCACATGCGCCTGAAAGCAGCGTCCCCGCCCCTAGTGTGCCTACCATCCTAGTATGTCTGCTCCTCATGGATTGTCAAGATCCCTTAAATTCAGGGATACATCCCTCCCGGGAGAAGCCTAGGCTGGCTCATGTTTTAAGCTTGGATACACTTGAGGGTTAGGAGGGCTGCCTTGCAGTAGTAGGAGGGTGACTTGTATTGGGGATAGCACATCACCCCAGCTTCCCAGCACCTTCACACAGGAAGACAGCAGGGGAGAGGAATACAGAGGGGAAAACCAAAGTAATAAAGAGTGTTTACCAGCAACTTAACCTCCTAAGGACGTCTTCAAGGGATCCAGGGGTACCCAAAGAACTTGGGACACCTTCAGGAATAGCAGCTTTTTACTTTGATGTAATTTCTGAGTTCCTAACAGGTCCTGGATGTCATCTGATTAATTCTCTCATCCCAGAGATGAGGAAACAGGAAAAGTAACCTGGTTGCCCTCCTGCAATGGGGACCTATCCCCAATTCTGTTCAGCAACTTTGGTACTCATGAAAACTACTGGATTGGGTCTGTTTGAATCCCTGCATCCTGACAATGTCTGGCACGTATTAGGCATTCAAATACTTAATGAATGGATTGTACTGTACATGCTGAAATGGCAAGCGGGGCATAGCAGAGACTAAGAACCATTTCCTACCACATCACAGCGTCAGGCAAATTCCAGGGGAATAAGTGAAAATTTCCACATCATCTCTGACTTGTTAAAAAGCCAGAAGTGATCAATAAATGTAACCTTGATATTAGGTTTTTTAAAAAAAGCCTCTGAGGCTGGCCAGTTAGCTCTGTTTTGGTTAGAGTGCAGCCTTGTAACACCAAGGTCAAGGGTGCAGTTCCCTGTACCTGCCAGCTGCCAAAAAAAAAAAAGGCCTCTGCTCTATTTTTCTGCACACAATTTTCATACCCATCAGGTTAGGGGTGAATGGCTGAAGTCCTAGCTGGGGGAAAAATAGGGTTTAGCAGATAGTAGAGACATGAGCTGTAAATAGCCATTAAAAATGATTAATTAGCTCTTACACTAACTTAAAAAAAAAAAAGTTAGTGCTCTTAACCCTTGACTTGGTGGTGTCAGCACCACGCTCTCCCAAGTGAGCTAACCGGCCATCCCTATATAGGATCCAAACCCATGGCTTTGGTGTGATGAGCACCACACTCTCCCAAGTGAGCCACGGGCCAGCACTTACACTAATTTTAAATGTTCTAGAAACTACACAGGCACCAAAATCAAGGATGGCCTTTAGGATCAAAGATGTAAGCCCTTGAGATCTGCATGTGTCACATACACAGGAAGGAGTCAGAATGGTATCTACATCAGTACCACTACTCCTTCAGAACACTGGATGCTATGAGCCTATAACAACTCAGTCTTAACAGGCCCTGACCGTTTTTATTAGAAATTGCAGTTAGGATCAGTTCAGTGCTAGTAATGTAACAGTGCTTTTGTTAATTAAAGTTATCTCATTCTCCAAATTCACTAGAAAATAACCCCCATCACACATCTGAATGAGTGGGTTTTTCCTCCTAAATGGTAATTACTCATGAATAAACCTATTTGGCTCCATAAATGGAAACTTACATTTAACTTCAAGCATCCAACTGGTATTAGTATAGGCCAAATACACAGAGATCGTGAGTTATAATTTATTTTCTTCTACTCCAATGGCTCAAGCTCTTGGCATAAGTAAGCACTAAGTAGACCATCCCTTCCCCCTACCTCCCAGGTGAATGCATGGCTGGCACCCAAATGAAGGCATGATAGAACAGGAAGGGAACAGCAGCCATGCAAGAGGAAAGCCATCCTTGGTTGGACCCAGTGCGACTTTAGAAAGAAGCACTAAGAAACAAATAAATACCCCAACGACACCCTCCACCCCAGTTAATGCAGCCACAGGAGATAGGATGAATTCAATCCAAATGGTTATTTATTCTAAAACTGGAAGCTACTGTGCCTATATTTTCGCCAGAATGTTGTAATGAGAACAGGGGAAGAAAAAGTTACAGATATAAACAATGACACAATTACATTTTTTAAAAATGGTAAACCCTTTTTTACTGGCCACTTCCAAGAATGCTTTACAGGTTGTGCAAAAACATTTACAAGCTCCATGTGGTGGTTGTTTTTCTCACAAGCTTTTCCATCTACAACTACAACAGACATCTGACAAAATACTAAACAAGTGTCCTAGGCAAAACAAGGCTAGGGATCCCTCCTGTTACCATAATCCATATTCCCCCCTTAACATTGTGTTTTCATAATAAAAAGACAGACAGAAACAAAACCCAGACATCTACTGTTGTTGCAAGTGATCTCTTGGACTGAACCAACAAGGATGTGGCAGTTTCACTCTCCACCCACCTAGAAAAAACAGCTTTATAAAAAAGATGACTTTCTAGTGTCAAAAATCAACAGCAAGTACTTCCCCTAACTCCCAGCCAAAAAACAAAACCCAGAGCGGATTAAGCTTTGTCACTCTGCCCCTGAGGACCCTAGCATCCCCATCCATGTCACAGACTGTAAAAAGATGCTATTAGCTGCAGGACTAACCATCTGAAAAGAGGTGGCAGCCTCTGCCTCGGGAAATTCAATTTTCTATGATTACATAATCTTGCCCTAAGGGAATGTCTTTGGACGCCAGTTTTTACCTCCTTGCCCTAACACTATGAGCAAAGCTTTTTCAACTTCCCTTAATAATAATAATAAGAATAAAAAATTAGTGGGTTACAGAAAAGTTCATGCAATCACTTCACCCACTGCCACACACAAATCCATGTGACAGCACCACAAGGAAGCAGGTGCCAAGAGAAGGACATCATTATGAGCAAGCAAACTTATCTCCTACCAGCCCTCTGTTCCTGCCTCGGGTTCAGAGGTACTTGAGCAGAAGGATGTGTCACGACAACGACAACTAGAGGGCCAGAATGAGGGTCTGCACACCTACAAAAGGGGTGCATGGCAGTGACAGTGAAAAGGAAGAGAAAGATCAAATCTCAGCACAAAATTTTAAACAGAGAACTGCCCAGGTGAGGAAATGGAAGTAAAGCATTTTCTAGTAGCACAAACCCAGGGTTTTCTCCTCTCACTCGCAAGTGCTGCAATATATGGTGTTTGCTGAGTAAGCTCTTGGCTGACACAATGCTGAGCAGGAAGATGAATTAAGAGTGAAGCCAAACACTGAAAGAGCATTCCCATATCCCACCCATATTTTTGAACTCAGCAACCTGCAGCTGTTTGTCAAGAACTAGGAAGGTGTTGGTAAAGTTACAAACAAATCTATCCCAACTGAAGTCTTTAGGCTAGAGGCCTCTCTGTGGACACTCAGGGAAAGCACGCCAGAAGGAATCTTGTTTCCGGGCGCTCCCTTTCATGCGCACATTTACGCATGTTCACACTCACACTCTTCCCAAGTTTCAGCAGCCCCACTGAGCTGCCTCCCACCCCCCACCCTACCCTTATCTATTCACTCTATACCTATGTATCAAAAAAACCAGCAGGGCATGAGCCCTCCACACTGTATAAAATAGTTGCTATTCTCAGCACCTGGGCCTGGGAGCCCACACCACAGGATTCACCTATATACATATCCTGCTGCAGTGAAAAGAATCCTGCTGCGTTTCTGTGTGAGCTGAAACCCTGAGAAACGTTCCTTCTCTTGCACTGTAAGAGCACACTCTAACAGAGATGATTTCAGAGATCTCCTGCTTCTCTCAACCTTGGAAGACAGAGATTAGAGACTGGCAAATCACAAACTTCGGGCTGAGGGCTGCAGTTCCATTCTCCCCGAGATTTTACGGAAATTCATTAATGGGTATATAGAGGGGGCAAGCTATTCTGCTCTGCAATCAAGAACAGTTTCCATGCCTCCTTGGCCTGGGAATCCTATATAACAGAATCACCCAACTGGCAGTCTCCATGCCTCAGCCAATTAGCACGAAGGCACAGGAAAGAGGAGATTGGGACATTTTGGCCTCCCAGCCCACCAGACCAGATATCCCAAGAGGGAAAGGTCGGTAAAGAAAATACAAACGGTTAGTTGGTGCAAATGATAGATAAGAGCCAATCGTTTATTTTCATTGCCCCAGTCACAAGCGCTCCCTGTCCCCACTTCTGCCTGCTCCTACCTGCTATGAAGAGCACCCTTACGCTGCTTCCTCATCCTCCCCACACCTCCTCATCACTCTCCCTTACTTGGCTGCCAGTCCAGCTGCCTTAGAATGTCACAAGGGTGAAATCTGCAGTTCTTTTCCTGTCCAACTGCAGGGTACAGAACAGGCAGCCCTAAGTGCTGCTTTCTGCGCAAATGTTTTCTGATTACAAATATCTAACTAGGTTTGAAATGTTTTATAGAATAAGACAATATTCTTTTCAACAAACTTTAAAAAAAATGTACAGTTTTGTTGTTTGTTTCCACCTCCCCCCCACCCCTGCTTGCGCACCCCCCCACCCCTCCCCAGCAGCTCAGCCCTACCCCGACAGCCCCTGTTTTCCTTGGTTGTGTTTTTTGGGGGGTGCCTGGCACCCCCAGAGATTCAGCTTCATGGCTGACAGGCGACAATGGCAGGGGCTTCACCGATACCCTTGGTAACCGTAGTAGTTCCTGTAGTATCGGTCTCTGTCCTGGGGGTGGTAGTAGTACTGCCACTAGAAGAGAGGGGAAACCCCATCACTTGGAGCCAGAGCTGGCTGAGAATGAAGGGGCACAACACTCATCCTTCTGCTCCTGCCCACTTCACCCTCTATGTATCCCAAGGAGATACTTACATCCCGATTGTATTGTCTGTAATAGTCTCTGTATCTGTTGTACTCATAATCTTGCCCATAGAATCGATCATAATCTCCCCTGTATCGATCATAGTCTCCCCTGTATCGATCGTAGTCTCCCCTGTATCGATCATAGAAATCACGGTAACCCTAAGAAAGGAGAAAAAGAAATGAAGATTTATAGGTTTCCAGCAGCATGACCCACTGCTACCCCTCTTATACAAGACACATTTTAGCTCGATATTATGAACAGGTTTAATTTTCCCAGAATAAATTCTTCCAGAAGAACACATTAAATGGGCAAAACCCTAAGCCCTGAGAAAACAGCCCAAACCACTCTGCTCCCCCAAGCCAATAGAAATGGCTATCACAGCCCAGAGGGAGGAGCAGAAGGAGAGCTGCACTCACCCCTCTGTTTCCAGACTGCCCCCAGTACTGCTGCCCGTAGGCCCGGTTGTCGTAGCCTCGGCGCTGCCCGCCCACTGGAAGAGAAACGGAGAGCGCGCTCAGACAGCTGGCGTGGGGTCCTGGCTCCACATCTGAGTGGAATTCAAAAAGTGGGAGCCAAAGGCAATTCTGGGGGAATAGGGAGCCTACTTTGGCCAGGCTCACACAATGTTAATTAAAGCACCAGCCAGGATGTTTTAAAAAGTCTGAGGGGGGAGGGCAGAGAAATAGAGACACAAGAAAACTGTGCCACCTTGCTTTTGAAGTTCCCCAATTCCTGAAAAACATTTAAGATGGCAAAATGATACATGGCAGAGTTAGAAACATGAGTAAAAACTGCCATTCATCGAATCATAGACTTTCAACCCTGGAAGGAATCTCAGATTACCATATAACCCATACCCATCATTTTATACAAAGGAAACAAAAGTCTTCATCATAAACTCCCTGAGGGTGGGCACTGTGAGTATTCCCAATGTCGAGCACAATGTGCCTCGCACATACCAGGCACTCAAAAATTCTGTTGACTTACAGTTACACAAACACATACACACACACATTTTTAAAGAGCAGTGAATGCACACTGGAGGTTTAACTGACAAATTAGACATTTGGGGGGATAAATTTTTTTTTTGACAGTTGGCCAGAATAGGGATTGAACTCTGGACCTTGGTGTTATCAACACCACACTCTAACCATTAGGGGGAAAATAGCCTAACTTGCTTTGTAACCCCCCCAAATTACTAAATAATGCATTTACTTTCTGGTCTATACAATCGGGTTGATCCAAAAGACAAAGTGGCAAGAAAACTTAAGATGAGAATCTGATTTCACTGCACGAATTCCTCAGATAGACTGGAACAGTGAAGTGGGAACCCGTATGTTAAAATAAAAACTAGGGGAAAAAAAAAAAAGAAAAACAAAAATAAAATGAAAACTAGACAGATGAGAAGGTGCAAGCATTGCTTTTCCAGAAAACAAATATTTTTGTTGAAAAGTAACTACTTATTTGTTAAAGGATTATGGAAAAAGCACAAGAAGTTGGGTAAAGGATGTAGGAAGAAATAAGCTACATAAAAAAGGCACTTCCTTATTGTTAGTGACTTGACTTGGTTTCCTTGGCCTTCTCTTGTGGGTCTATGCTGTACTCAGCACAAAGAACAGACTGACGCTGGGGGCTGGCAGGTCCCCAGGACTCACCATAGCCTTGGCCTCGGCTTCGGTTCTGCCGGTTACGCTTGTTCCGGTTGTTTCGGCGGTTTGTCCGCTTCTCAGAGGGTGGCAGTAGCTTCCTTGCCTCCTCCTTGTACTTTGTGACAATGGGCTGAGCCTCCTCCTTCTCCAGCTCCCCATATGTCACCTCATCCACATAGTCGCATTTTTCAGGCAGAGAGAAGTTGGCTATAAGAGTAAGAGAGAAGCTTGTGGGCCTGAAAAGTGCATAGATGGGTAAGAACTCATTATGAAAACTCTACTACAGGAAGCATAAGATTTTCTAAGCCTTACTTACTAATGAACAAAAATGTTCTGGTTTCATATCTACTCATATCTAAATAAACAAATTAACTTTCTCTACTCTAAGTTTTTCCTAAATTGTAACAGCCCCAGGCAAAGGGTTATCTGCAAACTGTAGATTTACAAGTTCTCAAGTGATCCATAATAAATTGGGAGTGAACTAGGTTAAAGGTTTCTTTTTTTTTTTTTTTCCCTTTTTGTCTTTTTTCGTGACCTGCAACGGGATCGCAACCCTCGGTGTCGCTCCCGCACCTCGCTCAGCCAGTGAGCGGCCGGTCTGTATGTGGGATCCGAACCCTCGGCGGGAAGCGCCACCGCACTTCCCAAGTGGCGCACTGTAGCAGTGTGCCACCGGGCCGGCCCTAGGTTAAGGTTTCTTATCAGGACAGAAGCACATAGCCGGAGGCTAAAAGTAACTGACAAAGTTTTGGTGTTTAGATAAGATGCTAAGAAATAACATTTTAAAAAGACACTCAAGGGCCGGCCCAGTGGCGCACTTGGTAGAGTGCAGCGCTTGGGAGTGTGGCGGCGCTCCCGCCGAGGGTTCAGATCCCATACAGAGACCGGTCCTGCTCACTGCTTGAGCGCGGTGTGGGCGCGACACCGAGGGTTGCGATCCCATTACCGGTCACGAAAAAAGACAAAAAGGAAAAAAAAAAAAAAAACTCAATGAGAAACTGACCCAAGCCCAAAGGCATCTACCTACTCATCTACACAAGGAGAACAGGAAACAAGAGCACAAGGACTCTCACTTAACCACCTACGGGGGATGGGCTGGCACATTTGCCAGTCTCTGGACATCAAGTTCAGAGGCTGAGTCCCAGTGAAATTCAGTTCAATGGGGCTCTCATGATTCTTACATTAATCTAATCAGCCCTCAATTTCATAAAACTGAACTGAATTCCTCTGAGTGCCTGAGTATTACTTATGAACTGGCATAGTTCATTCTGAGTAAAAGCACAGGATCCAGCTCATATATGTGTAAAACTAGTTCCCTTGCCTGGGGATTATGGGAATTTGAAGAGCTGGAGGTTAACAGAGCAGGTGGGAATGACAAGAGCGGGGCGGGGTGGGGGGGGGGATCATCCTCTGAAAGGGAACAGCAGGAAGCAGGATCCATCAAAATAGTTAATTATTATTATTATTTTTTTTGGCAGCTGGCCACTACGTGGATCCAACAAAATAGTTATTTCTGACTTGTGCAGCCCTTGCTCTCCAGCTTTGTACTACATCGAAGATTTTAGCCAAATACCGAAAAAAAAAAAAAAATATATATATATATATATATATACACCCAAACCAAACCAAACCCAAGCATAATATGATACCAGAAATCAAGATATATCAATGAAGGGGCTGGCCAGTTAGTGCAGTTGGTTAGAGCAGTGTTATGACACCAAGATCAAGGGTTTGGATCCCTGTACTGGCCAGCCAACAAAGAGCAAAAATAAAAAAGATACAAAAGATACACCAATGAAATCATAGCATAATATGATACCAGAAATCAAGATATATCAATGAAGGGGCTGGCCAGTTAGTGCAGTTGGTTAGAGCAGTGTTATGACACCAAGATCAAGGGTTTGGATCCCTGTACTGGCCAGCCAACAAAGAGCAAAAATAAAAAAGATACAAAAGATACACCAATGAAATCATTCACTCCAACCACCATAATTTTTTTTGAACCATAATAATCTCCCCCTCTTCCATGGAGTATAAACTTCTTGAAGGCCATGCTTCATCTCATACACTGCTATTTCCCTATGTCTATGACACTGCTGGACAAATAGACATGCCATAAACATTTTTTTAATGAAAAACTGACTCAAGGAAGCTTTTCCCCTGAGTTTTAATTATCCTGTGATCTATCACTATTTCCTCTTTTGTATCTTATCCAGAAGAGAGTCAAGGGCTTACTGCTTTTCTCCACTCACTCTGCTCATTCATTTACCTACAAGTGCTCACACCCATTAAATTGTTCTTTAGATTTACACTATAGATATTGAGAGTCACTAAGATACTAAGAAACCACAGGATAGGATCCCTAACTTGTAATTTTAGCCCACCTTTCATCTCTAGCATTATAGACTCAGGCACATCATCTCCCTCCACTTCCTTCCTCAACTCCAGCCTCTTCTTCCAATCTTCCTCGTTAGGGACAACCACCACCACTTTCCGAGAGAAGGTCTTGAACAGCAACAGCTTCCGCCGTTGGCCAGAGTTGTACACATTACACTAAGAACAGAAGGAACAACAGATGTTTATGGCAAAAACGATCACTCAAATTCAACCAAAACACTTAATATCTTTTAGAACTGAGGCACCATATTACGGTTCAAAATACATGATCTTCTTTAATTTTTCAAACTCTACATGACAGTTATTATCCTATTTTGCACATCAGGAAAACTGAAGTTCAGAGAGGCTAAGGGACTTGTCCAGCATCACAAACCTACTAAGTGGTAAAACCAGAAATCCAAAGAAGCTCTAGCTCTCTTTCCATTGCCTTTATTATGCATTTTACGGTTTGGATCCATATCTCAGTGAAAACATTAATGGGGGTACCTCTAAGTTAAAAAAAAAATTATAACCATAACACACAACCAGATGGTCATAATTAGGCAGCCTAATTCTGTTCCTTAATTCAGTCTCTCTCTACATAACATACCCCACTTTCACTCTAAGCAATTTTATCAGATTAAATGGATGCCAAATTTTACATCTTTGGACATTATGTAAAATTGGGTTTCTTTTAAATGTTTAAACAATACCTGGTCAAGAATAAAGTTCCTCTTTGTCCGGGAAGCAATCTGGACCAGCTTACTAAGGCACTGGGAGGCTTGCTGAACTAAAAGGTCTCGGCTTTTAGAGTCCATCTCTGGCTCCTCGAGCCCCTTCATCTGATGAGTTTGAGAGGAAGTGAGGAAGAACACACAACGTTATGTAGTGAGTTAAAGCCCAAGAAACATTGGTAAATGTCCTCTTCAAATGCCAAATCTATCACATCAACTCATTCCTACTCCTCAGTGCTGTGAACAGTATCCATTTCCTGCAGTAGTCATTTCCAGTCTCAACCTGGATATAGTCCAGATTTTATCCGTTTTCAGAAATTTGAAAACACAGCTCAGAAGAAAAAAAAATATCCACCTAAACACATATAGAGAAAACCTCATTTCTCCATTTGTAAGACCCTAGTTCTCAGATGCTTGAAAGACTAACCCTCCAGTGAGAACAGGTTATAGAAATTTCTTGGTACCTCCAGAGCAAATACTACATCTGATTAATCACCTCCAGCAACTCACCCTCATCTGATTGAGCACAGTCTCAGCTCCCAGGACATTGTATCTTTTCTCAGCATTTTCTTTTGCGTATTTCAGTGCCCACTGGGTCTTTCCAGATCCAGGAAGTCCCACCATCAGAATCACCTGCAGGTAAACAGAATTGGGAATACAATGAAAAATAAGTGAGGGTCATATTTATAAAATCCAATTTAAGAACATTCTCCCCCTCCCAGTTTGGTAATGCTTTCAGGAGAGACCTGGGACAGCATACCCACCCACCATTCCAAAGACTGAAACCTACATTTTTGCATACTGCTTGTCATACCTCACACTCCTCTACGGTCTTAGGAGGGACTGCAGTGCGCACACGTTCCTCAACAGGCACAGCATGAATGAATACAAACTCTTCTGGTGGTGGGAAGAAGGGCTCCTCCTTCTGACCAAAGTTTAATTCTACAACACAATTTTTGCAGAGGACATGGGGTAGAAGGGCCCGGTCTCCCAAGGATTCCTTGTTGATCTGGAATGCCACACCTAGGTCTTCTCCATTCTTGGAGAAGGAAAGTTCTACTTCTTCAGTCTCAAAATTCTACAAGAACAAAGGACAAGAGCACTTAACAGACTGACAGGGTTTGAGGTTGATTATATCTTACAACTTAGTTTTTTTTTTAAACTCAGCTACAGGACACAACTAAGAAAGCAATGCATCAAACGCAGAAAAGCTGCCAGCAGATGCCCTCCTTGCTGTGAATCCACAACTTTCAAGAGCACTTACAGCAAAGCAGCCAATGACATCATTTTCCCCAAAAGTCTGGCCAAATTCCTCAAACTGTCCGTTCTCTGCCTTGAGTCCTCGTCCATCAAAACCATAAGAGAATTCATCCTCACCTAAAATAGTCAACAAATTAGTTATCTACACCCAATCCTCCCATAGAGTAAGCAATATGATAGCAAGCATGAATGAGGAAGTTAAAAAATAACTTTACCAAGCTGTGGATGAGAAAAATCAACAGACCACCCAACTCGAAGGAGAGAAACCTCTGTGCAGCCTTCTTTCATTGGGAGATTCTGGGTTACCTGGCCAAGTCAGAAAAGTAGCTCTTAGAGACTCTGACAAACTCAGGAGCAAAGACTGAGTAAGAAAGACAAGATTTTCAGGCCGGCCTGTGGCTCACTCGGGAGAGTGCGGTGCTGATAGCACCAGGGCCACGGGTTTGGATCCCATATAGGGATGGCTGGTTTGCTCACTGGGTGAGCGTGGTGCTGACAACACCAAGTCAAGGGTTAAGATGCCCTTACCGGTCATCTTTTAAAAAAGAAAAAAAAGAAAGACAAGATTTTTATACAAACTGAAAATGACAATTATCACAACTCAACATCAGAATAACAATTGTCACTGAACTTAAACCAAAGTGATAAGGGTCAATTTCTTGATTATTGTTAAAGTACAGTTTCTTTTTCTACATTAATAAAATAGTGATGGACAAGGGTTCGGTATAAACAGTAATTTAATGAATAAATTAATAAATGAACAACAGTCTTAATGAGCTACTACCTTGGCCTCAAAGCAGATTTTTCCCTTTGTTACTCCATAAGTACTCCTTGCCCCAGACCAAAGGGTGGGGAACTTCTCTGAGAAAAGTGGCTGCCCTCCATAGCGGTCTTTGCTCACTTGAAAATGGAGATCCGAGGTATCTGTTAAGAAAGAAGCAATCAGTTTACTCCAATGCTGAACGCTCAAAAACCATCAACAGAACACAAGTATACCCAGTTGTCAAGAATGGATAGAAAGTTTCTCAGAATTTGCAGGCCATGAAGTTTTAATCTCTAAAATCACTTTTAGGAGCTTGGTTAGAAACCCCAATCTGTCTGCTCTATACATACATGTGTCCAGGTTCACAAGAGTTTGATCCTCCTCCTCGTCTTTTGCCTCTTCTTCAGGGGGTGGCGGAGACTTTGAGCTACATGTAGGATAGAAAAGCAAATACAATGTAACCAAAGCACTCTACTTTGAGGGGTGCCTGCATGACATTATATCCACCTAAAACTATCAGTGAATATCAGATTCCAGCAGACAGCTTCCTTCAACAAAAAAGAAAGGGCAATAGGAGCTTCCATGGTAGATTCCATCTAAAACTTATGCCTACGAAAACCTATTCCATTTTTAATCCACCCCTCCTTCCAGACTCTCCAATTGACATCAGATATACCAAAATCAGAGCAGACACTCCCTTCAAGGAAAGGGACTGTTTCCCTCACCGGCTGTGGTAAGCCTCCTCTCGGAATTCATAGTAAGCTCGGCCATGTTCATCCTTCTCATCCCGCTGTCTCTTTACCCCCCGCCGCTCACCATCTGAGCCTGCTGGTTTTGACTTTTCACTATCTTGGTCATCTCCTACAAAAAGGAGGGAAAGAAAATCAGCAGTTTTCATACTGGAGTATAGAATAATCTCAGAACCAACAGAAACTAAAAGGGGATCTGAGTGTTTGTCTAATCCAAAGAGCCAGGTATTCCCAGTGCATCCACAGAACATTTTATTTCCAAAGATCATTTTCCTGTCATTGGCTGGGATTTTATTTTCTTAAACATGGAAACCATGGGCCAATTACAGTCCAGAAGTAGATAAAAACTAGACAACTTCTGCATTCTAAATTTACCTGCTTAAATCAGATTAAACTTGGGTCAGCCTGTGACTCACTTGAGAGAGTGTGGTGCTGATAACACCAAGGCCACGGGTTCGGATCCCATATAGGGATGTCCAGTTAGTTCACTGGGTGAGCGTGGTGCTCATGACACCAAGTCAAGGGTTAAGATCCCCTTACTGGTCATTTAAAAAAAAAAAAAAAAAAATTCAGGTTAAACTTGCAGATTTCTCCATCAATAAGACATAAAAAAAGGTCTTTAGAAAATCTTCACAGATTAACTTAATTTCAATTCTTGTCAGATTTGGATTTAAGGTAGGTACATAATACACTCTTGCACAGCTTCACGATACAGAAGACTCAATTTTTTTTTTACGAGTTTGCCTTTGAGTATTAAAATGCACAGCCATCCATGACTTTACTTATATAGCAAATGGCATCAAGTGCATTGATACAGAGCTGTATTTTTATCAGGAATTTTTACTGAAAGTTACAAGAGCAAACCATTAAGTCACAAGAGACCCATAAATAATACTGCACATAATTGGGGCAGAAAGGTGTTGCTGTATATTTAGCAACATTTTTTACAAGAGGGAAAAAACCTGAAGTTTTTCTTTAGGCTTTTGTACTTAGCAACACTAAGAAGGTCTTTAACAATAATTTATTGAAGGCAGTGCTTTATCTCACAATATTTTTTTATCTGCTATTTGGGATACACATAAGTCAAAGGTTATGTAATGGGATTTTTGTTCTAGGACATAGGACAAACAATCTGCAAGTTGCATGTGATTGTTGTAAAATGGGTTCCAATTATACCATGATAATTGGTAGCAGTCCTGAAGAAGTATTACAAAAAGAACTAAGGCAACCCACTTTCTAGTAAGACTCAGAAGCAGCTCTAGTTTTCCTCCCTACTCTGAGAGATACTGTTAGGGATCAACTATAACCATCCAATCACTTCAAAAGAAAGGAGAAAGGTCACTAACTCTCTGGGGCGACTCTACACACTCTCTTCCACAAGGTTACTCACTGGACCCACCATCACCTTAATTCTTCCAATTCAGGAAGTCTGGGATCTGAAATGTAAAAGGCCAGCGCAAATGTACAGCAATTCTACAAATATGCTCATCCACGCCTCAGTGGGAAGATTAAAATTTAATCATAAGAATACAAACGCGGTAAAAGTCAAGTAATGTTAACTTATTCTAAATGCACCAAATTAAGATTTTCTTCGCTAGTTAACGATTAAACTCAACTCCCTCACACCAGAGCCTATTCCCTACTGCTCAAGCAGGAGCGAGGTTAGATTTCCAGATTCTGTGTGTGGCTCACACTCTCCTAATGTGCTTCTGACCGAGCGGACTTTGACGGACTTAGTTTATTGCTTAATATTTCTATGGTGAAAAACTCAACAATCAGGTAGCCCAAAGGCCTGAGCCTCTGTCAGTCTGGCTGTTCATGTAATCACCAATTGCCCAGCACATTCTGGACTAAGAAAAACATGAGTACCGCGGAGACTGCTCCACAGGTAGTTCACATGCAAAAAACATTCACTTCCATCCAAGGAACTAAGTTAGGCAGGAACCTCCCTTCTGCAAAGAGTGGGGCCATCAGAGGCAGCCAAATCTCCCAGAAAGGCGGGTGGAGGATGAAAGCCACCTCCTCTGGGAAGTCCCATCAAAAGGGGATGGAAATCTTGCACTTCCAGGCAAGTGAGAACAAGGGATCGGACCCCGCAGTGCAGGGTGGGGTGCTGGATCAGGGGCACGCCCGGCAGGTAGGGGCCGGGCTCCGCTGCCAGCTCCTCACCCTGTTCCTCTGCAGCCTTGTCACCCGGCGCCTCGGATCCCGGCGTCTCGTCCCCGCTCCGCTCCTCGGGTTCGTCTTCCTCCCCCTTGCCAGCACTCTGCTCTTCGCCACCATTTACTCCACCTGACCCAGCCGTGGCCTCCGCCGGCTTTTCGGAAGCATCGGGCTCCGCCGCGGCCTCCACGGCTGCCGCCTCCGGGGGCTCCGGTGGCGGCTGCGCGGCCTGGCCCGAGGCCTGAGCAGGAGGTAGCTCTTCGTCCTCGTCCTCAAGCAGCGCTTCCTCGTCCTCCTCCTCCTCGTCCTCGTCCTCCTCCTCGTCTCCTCCCGGGCCGCCGCCCGACGCGGCCACAGGCCGAGGCTCCGCCTTGCAGGCCCCGCCGGGCCCGGACCCGCCACCGCCGGCCTCGTCCTCGAGCATCTCGGCGTCCAGCGCCTCCTGCAGCCGCTGTGCCAGATCCACCTTGAGGCCGCGCGAGTCCAGGCCCCGCCGCTGCAGCTCCGACCGCAGCTCGGTCACTTTTAATACACTCTTGCACAGCTTCACGATACAGAAGACTCAATTTTTTTTTTACGAGTTTCGG